AGGAACTACCAGCAACTGCAAAATCGCCACAAAACGTACCCTGTTTATCATATTATTCTTCCTCCAAACAGTCAAATTGGAAGTATATACCCAAAAGCAAATCTTAGGACAAGTGGCAAAACCCCAAACAAATTTGAAATGTGTGAAAAATATCCTTATGAACTCATGCAAAACCAGCGCAGAGAAACTACAGTCCAAATGGACCAATCCTTAATATAAGCTCAACTGCAAGTTTAAAAACTCTTCAAAATCTTTTACGTGGCATTATTGAGCAAACCTTGGGACAAGTGGCTAAATCCCTAAAATAATTAAAATATATGAAAAAGGAAAGTACTCATGAACCATATGAAGAAACCAACACAAAACATTGACCATAGAATCAATCTCACAATTCTCTACCCATCTATACATTGTCCCAAGCAAAATTTAGAAGGATAAACAGGAAACTAAAGCAGCATTTGACACCTTGTTTTCACAAATTTTATCATATTTTTGCTTCTTTGTTGCAGCTTTCAGACCCTTCCATGGAAGGCTGCAAGAAAACACCATAACAGAAGGGCCACATGGCACAGTAAGCACATGAAAATGGGAGCATAAAACATAAGATCATATCCTCAAACGAAAGAAGCCTTGAGATATATGCACAAACATTCCTCTCAAGAAGTATAATAGAACATAGCCAAGAACCCCTAAATCATCTTTTTGACTTCGCTATGCAGGATACAACAATATGATTAAAAACTAATAATTTCCCTACCCCAATATCAACAGAGCTCTTATCCTTTCCCCTATCCCACACGTTGTAGAGCTCTTATCTAAGCAAACATATGACCAGATCTATAACTGCAAAATTCAAATACGGCCCTGTAAGAATCCACCAAAGAAAATCTCATCATCCCACAGTTGCAGTATGCTCTTCGATTGTGATATCCAAAAACAAAAAAAAAAAAGGGAGAAAGACTATACCTTTGCAAGATCTAATATTGAGGAGCTAATACATAAGCTTTCTATAAAAAAAATATATCAGTAGCAGATCTTGGGAGTCCAACCAATGTGATGATAAATCCCCAACTCCACCATCTACATTTTAGAATTTGAATTGGAAGCAAAAAAAAAAAAAGCGATATCAACCTTTAGTACATTAAACAACTTCAACCCACTTCAAATCAAGTTCAAACTTTCTCAAATTTCATTTTCAATTGAAGTAAAGTCGAAAAACACTGAAAGAAGAGACTAAAAAGACATTCACTTCCACAAACACGAGGAACTTATATGGTTTCAGTTATTATGCGAATTTCACCAAAAAAGCACATATGTGATGGCACCAGTGGCTTTATTGGCTTGAAAACACAACGTCAAGAAGAATCATGATATCTAATTTATCATGATTGAAAAGATATGAATGTGAAAAAAGTTTTGAATTAAATATAAGAGTAAAAGTTTTGGCAATATAGTGACTGCGAAGTAACATAAAAGAGAGTTCCAATGATTTCCAAAAAAGTTTAAAAACAAAATAAAACAAACATTCCAAAAATCTTCAAATCACCCCTAATGAATTAGAAGCCATCAGCCGAGAGCCAAGAGATATGAATGCCAGTTTAAAGTCCTCTCCACTGTGTGATGGTTATAGTCAGATGAATCTGTGCAGTAAAAAAAAAAATACACCCATTTTTGGCTTTGTAGTTAAGTATATTTCTTTCATTCAATAAATAAATCAATCAATTTAAAAGAAGAAGCAACTCACATATTGGGAGCCTCAACATAGATGTATTCGCAACACCCACCGCCATGTATCATCCCACCATCAAGGCTGTCAACCCCAGAGAGCTCTTTTTCACAAATACCCTTAACATAATTAATCTCTGGTGGTATAAACTTGCTGCCGGATAGCTTCTAGGATGCACAATTTAGCAAACCGAATAAGTATGACAAATTACAATAATAGACCAAAAGAAAAGAGAGGCAAAGGCTGTAAATCCGTTTAAAAATATACACTTGACCATTCAAGATTAAACTATCTTTATTAAAGACTCTTTCACATCAAACATGACTTCTTAAATCCCTAAATAAAAGAGAAAAAAACTAAAAGTAATTTGACAAATTCCCAAAGACACGGCCCTATTAGAAAGTGCAAAGCAAGGAGAAAACTGAACTAATGGTCGTACCCATTGAAAAAAGAGAGAAATAAACTTACACATTGATCTGATAACATGGCACTGCTCCACAAGAATTATTTGCATTATAACGCCATCTACAACTGAATTTTAATCCAAGTTCACTGACAAATATTATGGGGCGAGAAAATTATAACCTAAAAATTAATATGAGAATTGAGGAAATTGAGTAAGCAGGCTTTTTTGGTATTAACATCCTGGTGCTTGGAGCTTGCTGGGAGCTTCAATCGATAAAGGAGGCAAAGTGACGACAGTGAAGGAACAAAGCTTTGGCAAATGTGAAAGAACTAAGGCTTTACCAAGTAGTTTGCAAAGGAAGAAGGACCAAGAGTGACGAACAGGAAGGTCCAAAACAACACAAGCAATTTCAAATCCACCTAAAAGTAATTCAGTCACGCATTGAAACAAAATAAAACAACAGTACGAAAACTAAAATGGCACCTCCATATAATTGAAACATAACTTCATTTAACAAATTAAAGCTTACCCTTTCCCAGAAGAAGTATCCTCAAGGACGTGAAAGACTTTGCATAAGTGGGTTTTATCAATAGAAACGTCAAATACAAAGGGTAGAGAAGATGGCCGGCGGTGAGTTTACTGGCTGGAAATAAAGATAGTCGTATGAATTATGATTATTTCGGAATAGAATTTTAGAAGTATACAATGAGAAATTGATGAAATTTCACTGACCCAAAAACCAAACTAAAAATAAAAATATGGCCTACGACTTTAATTGTAGAATTTTATTGTAAGGATCTACTCAATTGGTACGATCAAAAGCTTATTCTTCCGCTGAATCGACCACCGTCTCTACCTATTTGGAAAGCGAAATCCTCTTCCATTGCCGCCGCGCCTTCTCGTTGGTTAGAATGGCTAAGGGCGTCAACCATCGGCCAATGCTCTCAACTGCGAAGGAGAAATATTTTACTTTTGTAGCATTTCAATTATTTGCAGATGAAGGAGAATGCTTTCGTTTTTGAAGAAAAATATTGCCCCAAATAATAGAACTATCAAATTGCAGACAACGGAGAAGAATGGAGCTTTTGTTTTTGTTGAGAAAAATATTGTCCCAAATAATAAAACTGAACTATCAAATACAGCTATCAAATGTCAAGCATGCTAGAATAATAATTATTTGGGCAGTGCATTCGTGAAAATAAGAGCTTATTTTTGCATGTTTGGTTTGGGCGGTGCATTGTGCAATGGTAAACGAGCTAGTGGAATACTTTTTTTTTGGGCGGACGGTATTGCATCGATAGTGCATTACGAAGTGGGTCATACTGGACAAATGTCAACTAACTAATGCATTACATGGTTCCAGCCTGGAATAAATGGGACTTGGAATAAAAAAACAAAAACACAAGAAAATGACAAATAAGCATTTTGGCATTTAGGCGAGAAATGAATTCACCACAGCTTAACACCTGGACAGTAAGGGGTGGAATTGGGCGGGAAAACTGATTTAGGGGCTTCTGTTTTAGTATATAAAATGATTTGTCCATATTTCAACATTAGGAATTTAGGATTATGATTGATTTCCATTCTTTTTTTGGTCCTTTTGGAGATTGTTAAATGCCAAAAAAGGAAAAAAAAAAAAGAAAAAAAAAAAGAGATAGATCAGGTCCGAAAAATTAGAGTTGACTTTGTACATTAGAATTCAGAATTGTTGCCCCCAAATTCCGAAATTCAGTCTGGATGTGTGTTAAATCTATGTGGGACTAGTAAATATTAGTAAAAAGAAAGAATAGCAAGCAGGCTAAACAAATAGCAACCAAAAAAAAATCACCAAAAAAGGAGGAGTTGTGTGTTGTTGTTTTATTATGCGAGGGATAATAATAAGAGGTGAAATAAGCAAAAGGAACCTTGTGGCTGTGACTGTCTTTTCCTTTTGATTTCAAAAAATGAAAAGCGCGGAAGACGGAGACGAATGACAATTGTTTGGGCTCTGGTAAAAACTATGAAATGGGGAATTAGACTAGTAATTAAATAAATAAAAAAAATGACAAAATCGAATTAAAATTAAGAGCTATAGAAAAATCACCAATGTCATCCTAGTTCAATTTTTTTTTCTTTGGAAAAAGCGCCACGAAGCATAATATTACTACTATTAATTAAAGTGTCAAAATGTATAGTTTGATATTTATTGAGTGGAATGAATGGACAAATGAAAGAGAGGAGAACTAAAAACTAAGAAACCAATAGTAACGATTTAGAGTGCCTTAATTTCAGGAGGTGTTTGGGGATGAAAAAACAGACACAATTGTTTCTTTGTTTGATGATACACTAATACCATGCAACATCTTTTCCTACCACTTTCTTTGAGAATCCTCCCTGCCATTCTCCTACAGGTAAAACTCCTCCCCCACCCTTCCAATTCCTTTGTCCTAATTTAATTTGCATTTCTCCTAATCTCTTCTAATCTTCTTCTGTGCAATTGTTACGTATTTGGAAGCATAATACGATCGTTGCATTCATGCTAATTCCATCCAAATCCAAGAAAAACTTTGCATGAGATCTCGAAGAAGACAACAGAGATTTGTTGCATGTTTTTACCATGCATGCAACAAATTTAATCGTGTTTAGATTGAATCAATGATGTTTTTGGTTTTTTTTTTTTTTTTACATGTTTAGATTGAATCAATGTTTTTTGGTATTTTGATTTTTGGACAACGTTAATAACTGAAGAAGAAACAGCCTCGTTTTGCCTTGCATATCATCAGCAGGGGCCATAACTTGGGAGACTGGCGGGGTTAATACTCACGGATTTTGTTGATCAATATAACAACAGAGATTATATATTAGTGTCTCATCAAACCTCCCTGAAAAATGTCTTCGCCCGGTGAGGACTCTCCGCCGGCGGATAATAATCAGTCGGATTCTCCTCCGTCACCGACTCCTCCGTCGCCGTCGTCTTCCTCATCCTCCTCCGCACCTCCGCCTTCCTCGTCTTCCTCCTCATCATCTTCTTCACCACCGCCACCATCATCATCCGGCAACTCACCACCTTCCCCAAGTTCAGATTCAGGATCTCCACCTCCGGGAGACAGCGGCGGCAGCAACGGCGGTTCATCGCCGCCACCACCATCTAACAACAACAATCAAAATTCCCCGCCACCACCCGACAGTAGTAAAAGCAACAACTCCCCACCACCACCGTCGCCTTCGTCCTCCAATAATGATAATAATAACGGAAACAACAACGGTGGCTCACCACCACCGCCGCCACCTCCACCTCCCCCACCTCCTCCGCCGCCGCCTCCACCTCCTCATTCGGGTTCAGGATCAGGATCACATTCCCCTCCTAGGGGCAGATTAGCACCACCGCCACCATCAGACGATGGCGGCAACACCAATCAGAAGGCCATTATTGCCGGAGTTGCAGCTGGAGCAGGGCTATTGCTGCTTATCATGATAGTCTTCTTGGTATCCTGCGGCCGAAGAAGGAAGCGCAAGCCGCATGACCAGATGCTGTATTACAGGGACAATTCTCACGGCAGAAGTATGTTCAGTTCCAAATGTCCAATTCCTTGCATTTTTTTTTCTTTTTGACATCACTTTGTTCCAAATGCTCTGTTTTCAGCTGCATTTCTGGCATCATGCTCTGTTTTCCTGCAGGTGATTTTTATGGGAGCGGACAACAATGGCCACCCCAGTCTCATGAACATGTCCTTAAGATGCCTCCAAGTGCGGCGGTAAGTTCGGAACATAGCTGGCCAATAGCACCACCGCCTCCTCCACCGATGATGAGCAGCAGCGAGATGAGCTCCGCCGCGTATTCTGGACCCCACAACCCGCCCTTGCCACCTCCACACCCAGGCGTCGCCCTTGGATTTAACCAGAGCAGTTTCAGTTATGATGATCTGGCGGCCGCAACCGGAGGGTTCAGCAGGAGCAATTTGTTGGGACAGGGTGGATTTGGTTATGTTCACAAGGGTGTGTTGCCTAATGGGAAGGAAGTAGCCGTGAAGAGTCTCAAATCGAACAGCGGGCAAGGGGAGAGGGAATTCCAGGCTGAGGTTGACATCATTAGTCGTGTTCATCATCGACATTTGGTGTCTCTGGTCGGATACTGTATTGCAGGACAACAGCGGATGCTGGTTTACGAGTTTGTTTCTAACAACACTCTTGAACACCACCTTCATGGTAGTATGCTGAACCTGTTGTCTAACGCCTCTGATTTGCGGTTATGATTTACACAAAAATGCAGTTTTCTAGCAGGAGATGAGGTCTTTGTTATGATGACATTTTTTTGTGGATGTTACAGGAAAAGGTCGCCCGGTTATGGATTGGCCAACAAGACTTAGAATCGCAATGGGATCGGCTAAGGGATTCGCTTACTTACATGAAGATTGTAAGTTTTTGTGTTTTCTAAAATACTTCTGTTATTTGTTGGCAGCATCTTTTTAAGCTCTGCTTTAATTTACACATGAATGATACTTCCAGGCCACCCACGCATTATCCACAGAGACATTAAGGCTGCAAATATTCTACTTGATGACAACTTCGAAGCTAAGGTATGATCAATTTGATAATTCAAACTAATACCAAAAGCTGCTGAGTTTACACTAATAGATGTGGATCACTATGCTTGCTTACTATAGGTGGCTGATTTTGGACTGGCTAAGCTTTCTAATGATACCAACACACACGTCTCCACAAGAATCATGGGAACATTTGGGTATGTAATAATTGACCTTTTTTATTAGCATTTTGTCCACGTTAAGGGTTTGTTTGTAAAGATTATATGCCCATTGATGTGAAAAATGCAGTTACTTAGCTCCGGAATATGCTTCAAGTGGCAAGCTCACTGAGAAGTCTGATGTCTACTCGTATGGAGTTATGCTCTTGGAACTGATTACCGGAAGGCGTCCAGTGGATATCAGCATGGATGACGACAGCTTAGTTGACTGGGTACAAATCGTTTTTTATATTTCAGCTTCATTTATATCTCTAACAGGGGCAGAGCTACGAAGATAACCCGCAGTCTGTTGATTCCTACCAGCCAGAAAAACCTCTTAAAGGGTCGGTCTGACCAATATCCTAAGGGGCCGTTACTCTGTAAAGCCACTTTAATTACAGACCAGCCTAAATAACCCCTATTAGGGTGATCTCACGGGATTTCATCTTAAGGGGTTTCTCTATAAAGCTTCTTCAGGAGGCCAAAAAAGAGGGTTGGTTCAGCCACTGGTATTTAACATTGACTTACACTGACTCATGCTTGCAGGCAAGACCTATCCTAACACGGGTAGTTGAGGGTGGAAGCTTTGAAGAATTGGTGGACAAACGTTTGGAAGACAACTACGATCCACAGGAGATGCTAAGGATGGTGGGATGTGCTGCTGCAAGTATCAGGCACTCTGCCCGGAGACGTCCCAAAATGAGTCAGGTATTTTGTCTTTCTTATGGATCTAAGTCATTCGCTCCATTATTTCACTTGATGAGTTCATTGGAAATCTTATAACTTGATTAACGTTCCTTTTCCTGTGCTCAAGATCGTGCGTGCACTGGAAGGCGACGTGTCATTGGATGACTTGAGCGAGGGAGTGAGGCCTGGACACAGTGCTCTGTTCGGATCAAGTGGTTCTGAGCATGATAGTGCAGCATACCAGACAGATATGAAAAAGTTCATGAAGAACACAGGATTGGCAAGCCAGGAATTCAGCACCAGTAGCGAGCACGGCATGACCGGGGAGTTCGGCCATTTCAGCCATTCCAGTGGCGAATCGCAAGAAGTTCGTCCTAACAGGAGCCGAGGCCACACACCTTGAATTGATCAATTAACGACCCTGTTTTTCTCCAGTTCCCAAATTGAGGAAAAAAGGAAAAATAAAAAAATAAAAAAGAAAGGAGGGAAGGAGATCAACTATAGTTCTCTCTATACAGATGCAGAATTAGCACAGTTATTTCGCTTCAGAAAAAGAAAAAAGAACCAAAAAAAAACTCGTCACGTTTGAAAATATAGCTTTTGAATTTGTTTCCCAAATTCACACCATTACAGCATACCTGTAAACAATCCTGACTTTGGATGGTGGAGTAATTAAGGCACTCTGCTCGGCGAAGAACGTAGCAGAATGTAGTTTTTTTGTGAGAAAATATTGTGGCCATCCTTATACTTCTTACAGAAATTTGGTGGGTTTGGGTTGATCTAATATGCTTTGGATTTATTTTATTATTTCTCTTTGTTATGCAAGACAATGTATTTGGAGATATAGAGCATTGATACTATTTGTTGTTACTAATTTGTTTGAGCCACTCAAGTACGTACCTAAAAGTTTGGTAGTTTGAGCTTTAGAGGTAGTGTGCAATGTGTATTTGTTTTGTAAGTATGTAGTTTTTGTCCATTTGCATGTGGCAATAATTACAGTAGCAACGATTTTGTCAAAGGTCCAGATTATTGAAATAAAAGAAGTTTCCTCCTTTCCATAATAGTTCACTTTAATTTAGTAAAACGAAGTGAACTATTACATGAGAGGAAGAGAGTAAACACAATTTCCTTTATAATTCTTCGAAAAGGCAAAATTTTCTTGGCTCTAGTCTGTGTTAATTAGTCTTGGCTTGATTGATATGTTTTGGAAAAATACCATTATCCTCCTGGTTGAAAAAAGATGTCATAGATGGAAGCTCTCAATAAGTTTAATATCAACAACTACAAGGACGGGAACTTTTACAGACAAATAAATTACAGATAGACATACTGGAATTGAAGAATGCAGTGATTTTTTTCTGAAACATTAGGATGCATGACAAGGAGTCGAAACTTTTGACATCAAAGATCACAAATAGCTTAGTGGGGGGTACAAGAAATATACAACGACAATGGGGGATCAGGAGCGTATCTGTCAGAGAATCAGAAGATTGGCAGTTCAATACTCAAATCACTCTCCTATGCCCTCCAAAAGCCCATATCTGGCAATAACAGGGAAAACAATATTTTGTCGTTATGGTAGAAACTAAAAAATAATGCTAACAGCAGCATTATGATACCTAGAGCTCAATCTTGCAATTTCTAGCTTCAAGTCAAATTTTTCAACCACACTTGATACGAGAAACTAGATTAAAAAAAAATGACAATTGTGGATCTTAGTGTAGACTGAATATTAAGTCCAGATTCATCATTACAATATTCTCTTGTAGAGCATCCAGCATACACCTAGGACAGAGGTAGTAACAGACTAATGGTCTTATGCAAAAGAAAGTGAGAGACCAACTTAGGAGGGTCAGATCAACACTAACCTTCAAGTTTGAATCCCAACTTCCTGTGCATAAAGCACTTCCATCCGCTGACAATCCCAAACAACTTATCCGAGCTTTGTGTTCGTGAGAAGTTTGAAGAGATCCCAAATTCAAAACCATCTATCAATTCAAAAAAATAAATAAATAAAATGTAAAAGTGATCAGCTAAGAAATTAATTCGACAATTGATTAAGTAATAAAACGAAATGAATTAGCACATGAAACATGGAAATCATATTTGGTACACGGCAAGTTTCTTAATCCAAGTACCAACTTTAAGAAAATGTTTTACTTTTCAAAGCTTGTTAATCCTGTATAATGGATACATTCAGAAGCCATCAACCAATGGTAGAAATTAGAAAAGTCACGAATCAGGAAGGGCTTTGCTCTAACGAAACCATAAGAGCATCTTGTCAACTAGAAAAAAAATGTGCATACCATCTCATGCAACTCAAAATATCCCAAGCTTATATTATCAACTAGCAAAGAATTGGGAAGAAATTGAATGTCTGGAAGACAAGTGAACTTTTGTGCGCACACCTCAATTACAGCCCTCCAAGCCCCACTTAGATAAAGAGCAAAGACGCAATTAAAGAAAAAGGAAAAAAAATGTCATGTCTCGGACAAGATCAAAGAACAAAACTGTTTCAAGGTTCGTCCAGGGACTTTAACCAATTTTACAGCAACTAAGTTCCTGAACAGATGCATCTAAGCATTAAAGATAAAGCTATTATGTACCTTCGCCAATAAGGCATCCCATACGTAGCAATCACCATTAGCATACCCAGCAAAGAGAAGCTTGCCAGAAATCGAAAACGCAATGGAAGTTACCGGGGGCACCTCATTATCCCCATGTTGCTGATAATACACCTGTAACTGGTGGCCAGTTCTAATGTCGAACAATCTGCAAGTTCCATCTTCAGAACCTGTTCCAAATCTATTCCCGTCAGGGAAAAACTTCACAGTATTGACATCTCCTTCATGGCCATGAAATGTGCGAACAGCTCGACTAGCAACCCTGGTGTCCCAAAGACGGGCAGTGGCATCACAAGATCCAGATACAAACATTCTTGAGTTTGATCCACAGATGGAGACACTGACCAAGATAGGGGAAACGCCACATTAAGATAACAACACATAAGAAAGGGCCACAAGATTAAAAGGGTTATTGATTAAAATGCACCTCAAAACATCAGAAGTATGCCCGGACTGAAATTCTCCTCCAAAGACAGATGTCCTAAGACCTGTAGTTATATCCCACAGCACACATGTTTGATCTCCGGAGCTAGTTATCAGGTGCGTATCTTCATCAGGCACATACTGACATGACGACACATAACCTTTATGCCCAGTAAGCATTTTTGATACAGGTAGATTACCATCCTTGTCAGTTGGAGAATTCAGGTTGAAAATAGAGCAAACACTATCAAGTCCACCACAGGCAACAGATTGCCCAGTTGGTGAGAACGCACAAGTCATGACCCATGCACAAGGTAGCTTAATTGAATGTGTTTTCTGGCTTGTGAGAGCATTCCACACAATTAACCGGCCATCCTGGGATGCACTAACAATACGATTCTTCTCTGGGGTCCAGTCAAGTGAATACACCTATAATACGAATATCAAAACACCAGCACTATATCAATTCCTTTGTTCATTCTATGAGGTTTGTGTGAATAAAAATTTAAAAGGTTTTAAAGCAGAATACGTATTTAAAAACATATTAAGATAGAAGGAAAGTATGCTTTCAAACAGGTTTCTACATATACATTTATCATCACAGTTAGTTGCACTTCTGAGGGAGCTGAACAAACAGGAAATACTTGGCTAAACAAAGACCTACAAGTATCAAATTATCTATGATACTTTGGCGCATGTACAGATGTGTACTTACTAATGCAACGGCAATGAACTTTCTCTACATGTGCCATACATACCTACGCATTTGTCTGTATGCATGTTATTTACCGAACTGCAAGCCACAACTAAACGACGAATAGAGGAGACATTCAATTTTGGAGAGGTGAAGAAGCTCCCATGATTGCATATATCAAGAAACAACAAGGTCAACATAAGAATATTTCACCTGAATACTGACCATAAGAAGCCTAGTGATCATGACAGAAGAGAATCTAGCTACAAATGTGAAGCTAATAAGATGCTTCAAACAATTCGATACATCCAGCATCAATTTAACCAGGTGCAATGGAAATTTTAATCTCCAAGCAAAAAAAAAGAAAAAAAATCCATTAAATTTCAAGGCACCAAACAAAAATTAAAATTATGCGAGGCAGAAACTCATGAAAACCTAAATGCAAAAAAAAACCAACTGCTAGTATATGTATAGATAACTAGGAAAGCCTACCTTTCCAGTATGACCTTGTAACGTCCGACAGCACACCAGATCCGTAGGATCGAAGCTCACCGGAGTTTTCCCTTGCGACCTTGAATATCCTGCCACTGCCAAAAATGAATTTCACGCAGAAATCAGCACATAATAGATCGAAAAAGCGACAAACATAAGCACAATCAATTCACGCTGAACTAAGCAGGGAAAGAGAAGTAAAGAAAAAAAAAAAACGCACGGTCGGTGTCAAGGAGAAGTTGACGCTTCTGTTTCAATTTCTCTCGGAGAGAATTGACAGTCTGCGTCGCCGCCGCGTGCCGTTCTTTGAGCTCCGCAACTGACGACATTTAGACTTCAAAGGGAAGAACCTCAAAGGAACAAAATAAACAAAAGAAATTCAAGCTCGATTTTCCATTAAAGCCTCACTTTTGCTGCTTCAGTGAGCTACATTCCGAAATCCTGTTCCATCTCGATTCTGGAGATTAGGGCTTGGGAGCGATCGAATTCGAGATAAGTAAATGTAGAAAGAAATAAAGAGGAACGGATTACAGTGGGGGGCTTAGGGGATTGGGGGTTAAAGGAGAAAGATAGAATAGAAGAGGCAAGAGGAAAAACGGAATAATGTACTAATTCAGTCGAAGGTGGTTTGAGAATTTTAGACTCCTTTTCCACTTTTTTCATTAGTGAGTGAATGGACATTTTCGCTCACGCCGCCTGGGGTCCACACTTCCTTGACGTGGCATTAGGGGGAGATTGTGGATGTGAAATTTGCTGTCGTTTTAATCATCTTTACTTTAATTAATTTTATATATTCTATTTCTCCCACAAAAATAGTCCACATCTAGTTTTAAGATATGTATTATTTTTACTATAAATTTGAAAATTTAGTGTGGACTATTTTTTTTTTGGAACGAATGTAGTATAATAATTTCCAGGAAGGCACACACGATTAAGGAGGAGGGATTAATAGTCAATGGGAATTAGGAAAATTATGAGGAAGATAAAAGAAAATCCAATCTAGGAGTTGACTGTAAAGTTCAACTCCGTTTTTGTGGTTGGTGCACATTTAGACGTGTAATTCTAAGAAGTACTTCCTCCGTCCCATAATTATTGTCTACTTTGCTTAAAAAATTTTGTCCCAAAATTATTGTCCAATTTGACTTTTTATGGATCAAGTTACACATTTGTCCTTAGTAAAAAACATTATCCATAAAATTTTAGTGGTTAAACAATTACTTATGTAGGGGTATATCCGGTTGTTTAAGGTAAAATATAGTTAAGTTTGACCAAAAATAAAATCTTTCATTTTAGTAAAACTGGACAATAATTATGGGATGGAGGGAGTACTAATTTCTTTAGAAAAATTCATGATGGGTTTCTCAATCATTTTGCAATTGAATGTTTTGCGCGTAATACAATTACATAAAAATTAGTATAATGTATATAGGTTTTTTCAAAGAAAACAGATCAAACTAAAAATAGAAATTTTCTTTCTTACAAAAACGAGTTTTTTCCATCATTATGTAAGTACTCACTTCGTCCTATAATTATTGTCCAGTTTTACTAAAATGAAAGATTTTATTTTTGGTCAAACTTAATTATATTTTACCTTAAACAATCGGATATACCCCTAGATAAGTAATAATTTAACCACTAAGATTTTATGGATAATGTTTTTTACTAAGGACAAATGTGTAACTTGATCCATAAAAAGTCAAATTAGACAATAATTTTAGAACAAAATTTTTTGAGCAAAGTGGACAATAATTATGGGACGGAGGGAGTAACTAACAGAGATTTCATTTGTTACTTGTTAGATTGATTAACTCAAAGACAGCTAGCTTTCACATTTTCACATTGATGCCGTGAGATTGCTGTCATGTTGCGTCAGCGGAGGAAGTAGGACGTGACGTAATTAATGAAGTCAGATGAGAAAATCAAAATGTACTAGTGTATACTTTTTTTTGGTAGAATGTATATGGCTGATGATTATCCGTTCCGAAACTACAATACATACATTCACCACAACCTAAACTACCCAATGTTGAAACATGTTAATTGCCCAAAAACATTTGATCCACTTGACAAAAAGTTCGACCATCATAAACTTGTGATGCTTCAGGAAACAGTTCGGCCATAACAAACACATCCAATGTAAAAAATTTTAGCCCATTTTTCCTTAACATGATTGCACGGAAAATCTGAACTCCTAAATGTCTCTTGTGTCTCGTCAGACGACGGCTTTGTGGTAGGAACACTAAGAACAAAAGCAGCTTGATCCCACGTAGCAGCAGCAGCTGTGATGCGATACCCAGATTCCCATCTCCGGTGAATACCTTCACTGGGGTACACAAAGTCTAGTTCCACAACCTGATCAGAAAATCCAGCACCACCACGGGACATGACGATTGCCCATCTACTTCCCGCAGTTGCCATTGCTGTGACATAGTATCCCTCCCTCCATTTCTTTTTTATCCATTTGAAAGGGAATGATTCACTGACTTTATAAGACTGTTTCACATACTGAGTACCTTTTGACATGACAACCAGGGAGCTCCCATTATTTGCCCCTGCTATGGCACTAATGTAAAAATCCTTCTCCCATTGTTCCATAATCCATTCCTTGTCAAGGAACAAAGGTGACAGTTCATAAATTTGAGCAGTCAACCCAGTGCCTTCATCCATTATCAAAGCCCACAGATTTGAGCAAGAGGCCACACTGCTGATGAATAGACCATCCTCATTCCCTTTATCAATATGATGAGAAAGCCTCGTGTCCGCGACATTGTGATGATACCGTTGCTTCATAGGGCGACTCGCCGCATTATAAACAGTAATCCATTGTGTCTCAGGCATTCCCATTCGGACTTTCTTCTTCGGTTGTTCATCATCATCTTCGAGTCCTCTGTTATTTCCAACTTGAGATATAAGCTCTTGAGCACCATCAGTATTGATAGGTCTAATGTCTGGATTGAGGCCCACTATACCATCAAACAATGATATGTACTTTGCATAGTTTGGCTCCTCATCAAACTTCAAGTTCGCCACATACTCCACAAATTGCCGGAAAGGCCAAGGACAGAAACAACACAGCGTATCCGGAGAAGTTGCCATCTTTTTTTTGCATACGAAGAAGCCTTTATCCTCGCCCTGGTATCCTTGCCAGGGCAGCCCACCACGAATAAGAAAGATGAGGGTGTAAGCAAGTGATTCAAGATCGTGGCGGCGACTCCCAGTCCTTCCGAGATGCGCATGAACACTAGCATAGCGCACCGTTCCCCTAAAAACATCTGGTCTCTGATCATATTCAACATGCAGGCCAGTTGAAGCATCACGCCATCGAGTAGCAAGTCCCAAATCAACAAGAAACAACTTCTTTTCCTCAGGTGTGCCCGGCGGACCACCAAGCAAAAAGTTTTCCGGTTTGACATCTCCATGAACGTATCCTCTCGAGTGCAACTTCTCGAGTATGGAGATAGCTTCAATGGCAATACAAGCAACCATCTCAATAGACATCGGGTTAGAATTACTGTTCCAGACATCCCATAAACTCGGACCAAGCATATCCATAACCATAATATAATACTCATCTTGTTGTCCCTTGTAATGCACACGTGGGATGCCATGACTACCACCTAGGGCATCGTAGACTTGCCATTCATACGGTGGTCGACCATCGTTGCAACCTGTGCTGCTTCTATGCTCAAATTTCAATGCCACCTCAACGGCATTAGGCCCGGTGGTACTCTCTGGCGGGTTTGGTGGATCAATACGCCGACCAACATACACCTGTCCGAACCCTCCTTCGCCCAGTTTCCTATCAATTTTATAAGCTGGTGAGCCAGTGACCTGGACCTTTTCGGGAATGGGAGCAGTGTTGCCTTCATCCTCAGCTCCCAAACACTTATCATCACTGCCGCCTCCGCTATCGTATTCATTCACAATTTCATTTTCCCCAACCTCTCCATGTAAGTTCAAATTAACTGCCTCTATATTCTCCTGGCTGGCTCCTTGTCGTTCCCCGGAGGACGTTGTTTCCTTCATAGCATTCTCATCCCCTTCGTTACCCTCCTCAAACTGCTCCACTCCCAGAAACTGCCCCTCCGCTTCCTCTTCCTTCATGGTATTACTTAATCCGACCTTCATCAATTTTTGTATCAACTTATCCTTTACCCTCTCTTCTAGAAATCGCCTAGGGCACAGAATTGAAACAATAAACAAAAAAGCTCGCTGCATTTATCGGTTCGGCTTGATCCGCAGCAAATTGAATTAAGAGTGAAAAACCAAACTAGATAATAATTTTGGGACATAGAGAGTATATATATAGAGTTTTTTGGGACCACGAATTGGCAAACTAAGAATCAAGATCCGAATCCAGGTAGTCTTTCTTTCTCGAGTGGAATCATGGGATAAAATAGAGTTAAATAGTAGGAGGAGGAAACTCAACTAGGAATAGGATTTTTTCTTTTAAATACAGGACGTTTTATGTTTGTTGCTTTATATTATCTTGCAATTGCTATTGTAATTCTTTTTCTTTTTTTCGTTAATGTTATTTATAAGTAAGTTCCTTTTCTTTTTTTTCTTTTTTTTGAGAAAGGAAATTTGATTAAGTTAGTTCCTCTTGCTAAATACATGGTTGCCCTCTGGTTATATTTTGTTTTCTGGAGATTCATAGTTATTTAGCCAGAGAACTTAATGTGTATATTCTTTTTGTCCCTAATTGATCATCACTTTGGCCTCTTTACAGGACTCATTTCGAGAGGGAAGACTTTAATTCAATCCAATTCTTTGGCTGTATATAACATATATTGGAACAATAGGTTTTTATTCATAACGTAGTTCAATTTTCAACGATGCGCCCAATTGACGACCGCTTTCTGATGTATCCCTTGAGGACGCTTTTCTTTCAGGTTATTAATTACCTTTTTCAAGGTATTATTATTTTTTTAAAAAAAAACAAGTAAATCTTCAAAATAGACAATGATATTACTGAGATATGGCACTCTTAGTACATCCTGGATCAACCATTACCTAATTTTACTTTTGATCATCGGCCCTGAGTCAGCTAAAGCCTAAATTTAGTTCTTTTGAGCGGTCAATAAAATTATGGAAGGATTAATATTAGGCATTACGCGAATCGGGTCATTTTACAAGACCAAAATTTACCAAAAGTTGAAATTGTGGGCAGCCTGGGGTGATAGTTTGGTAGGGGATAATTCATATGAAATTGTGAAAATGAATATTCACTCTCATCCAAAATGATTGTCAAGTTAGATTTTCATTTTTAAGTAAAATCTGTATTAAGAATTTACAAAACCAAAATTTACCAAAAGTTGAAATTGTTGGCATCCTAGGGTGATAATAGTTTGATAAGGGAAGAATTTACGTGAAATTATGAAAATGAATATTTCCTTTCTCTCAAAATGATTTTTGAAATGGGACGAAAAGAAGCATCTTCAATTAAATCGTATTTTTGCCTTGTCGATTTCAATTAGCAGAGAGAAAATGGCAAGCGACCTGGAGAATGAGTAGATGATCACTCTTCTCAAGATGAAAGGTTAACGCAAGAGGTTTAATGGGAGAAGTTAAGACCGGTACATTTACTCAAGAAATACTTGACGTTATCTCTCATTTGGAACTGGTGGAAACCTCAGAAACCAAACAAATGGGCAATAATTATTCAATAAGTAGAGAAAATCGACAATACTTTACAGTTTTTTTTTTTTTTTATTGTAAGTATCACCAAAAATACTTCTCCATTTTATTTACTTCCACCAGGATAATTGCACTGGCCATAACCTACACAACACGGGATGATTGAAGACGATCAGAAACCAAAGGGGAAAAAAACGGCTAGAGAACCAACCCAACTCCTTTTTGAATTTGCAAGTATAGTAGAATGAAGTCAACATGAATGAGCAAATCTTACTTGGATTAGAATCAATGAGGGTGGCGGTCTGCCGGAAGTCGCAATTCCAGGGATTCCTGCCAGCAGTTTGGAAGAGTAGATTCATGGCATAAGCAGCATGCGCTGCTACAGTATTTGGTTCAAAACATGTTCCACCATTTTGAATTGGACTACAATCAATACCTTGGCTACAAGCGTAGTCGAGATTTTGCTGTAATTGTGCTTCAGGAACGCCTGGCTTAGGCAAGCACCAACCAGATTGGGGCTTTGGTGTTGGCGTGACTGGAGCTGTGGGAGTAACCGGAACAGGAGTCACAGGAGCCACGGGAGTGACTGGAGTTGCCGGAGTCACTGGAGCAGTTGGAGGCTGCAGGAGTAAAAAGCAAAGGAAATCAAAGGTGTCAATAGATAGAATACTTAATTCAGTGTCACAAAAGAACATAACATTAAAATGAATCTGCAGTTTCTCAACTTTCTATGCAGCTTAGTCTTCGGTACATTATTAAAAGCCTGGTTGATATAAGTTGTATAAAAATGATGTCATTTATATTTTCAAAGACTCACTTCCAATACGTGACCACTATAAGTACACCTATTTAAGTTACAGAAAGAAAACTTCCGGAAATTCAAGCACCCATGAAAAAAGCTTATCAGACTATCAGTCGGTCAAATCACTTGCTTTTTCAATAATCGCTTATTCAAGAATTTAAATACCGAAATTTGCACCTCTAGTGAAGTTACCTGACTATTCTTTGAAAGATCAAGCTGATAATTCATGTTTAGATCAGACCTGTAGAGCCCGAACGACCTTTCCGAGGTTGGTCCAGGTTTCAAGTTCTCATCATAGAGGGCAAAGATATAAGTTTCAACTGATTTTCCTGGCATCAATGGAGTGCCAACCATAGATCTCAGATGATTTATCAAGTTACCATTATAAGCTTTTGCATTGTCTACACCTGGACCAACTTCATTTGGATCGCCCTTATAAGGCCAACCTGTCTCTGCAACCACAATCTCTACATCCTTGAATCCCATTGCACTCAATGCAGAATGCACAGCATCTACCTGCATTGATGCACGAACCATAAAATTGTTAAAGCTCTGTGTTTTTGGCGGCCACTTTGCTAGCAATACTAATAAAACGATTGTAAAGATACAACGATTTCCATAGTTCACAAGCTTCTCAAGACTACCAGAAAACCCACAGTGTTGATAGTTTCATACAGTTGCTGGACAATGATATGATATGTTTTAATAAAATTGAGAATGGGGGACTGCAGCTGTGAGATACCATATCGATTATTGGTAAGCACTAAAGACAAGTTTCAAACGTGTAATGCAAAAACCGGATTCCAAAGGAACATAAGTACAAAAACATAATTACCATCAAAGAAATGAAACGAAATCCAGATGTGTTCTTTTGACTATTACCACTAACATAACATCTTTTGTACTGAGGAACTCAATTTGAACCTCCAAGATTCATCATGTATGCTCCATGTGCCTCTGCCCCTTGCCACTTAAAATCAGTGTCCTACAGCTAGTAGCCTAGTACCCGAAACTATATTTAAAATCCCTCTTGTCAATCAGTAAAAAGTTTTACTTAAAATACCATAATACCCCTTCAAAATGTTAAAGAAATAAAGTACTACTACTTCTTTCCCAAATGAATAGTTTCATACTTTCATTTCATGGGGCTTTTTCTGTTCGAGGCAGAGAATTGTTATTTTGAGAAAGAATAATTAATTACTTGAAAGCCTAGAAACAGTAAGGGAAAGAAAAAATATCAAATCTACACATGCACTAAAATAATGAAAAGGTCAAACGATATCAACGTTCAATAAATTAGTAGTACTAACTTAGATAAAACCGACAAGATGAAACTATTTAACGGACAGAGACGATGAGCATTATCTGAAAACATAAAACCGACATTTGATTACTTACGGACAAAAACCCTCATGAAAGAGGACAGATTAGTACACATTGGCACCAAGCTGTACCTGGGGACCAGTAAAGAAATTAAACTCTCACCTGCGCATCAAACATGTTCATATACTTAATTCCGGTTCCTGAGTCGACCCGGCCCGCGTTCGGTTGGAACAGACAGAAAGCTAACGTCTCCGGCCTCGGATCGCTCCCGTATGCAAAGTACGGGTACGGGTTTATCATGAAAGGTGAACCGTTGTCCTTGAGAAACTGTAATAACGCTTTCATTGCATCTCCAAAACCGGGATTGAATTGGCCGGAGGAAGGCGGGTCTGACTGAGTCAACACGGCCATTGAATGCACCGTTGACACCTTGATAATCCCGCCCTGCCTAGCTGCAATTTTTTTTCAGCAATTTCAGCTGTTTGAATTATTGGGGAAAGGAAAAACAAAACAAAACCAGAATCAGAGAAGATGAGATAAAGACTGTACTGACCGGCATTGAGGGCGTTTTGAACATTTTTCATGGCCGGTAACAGTTGCGAGATAAGGTTCTGGTCGCCGGAGGTCATGACTTCGTTGCCGACGTTGATGACGGTGATTTTGCTCGCCGGAAGATAAGGCAAGACGTTGTTTCCGACCCATTGGCCCGCGAAGTTCGGGTCGGCGGCAAGGGCTGGGATATCGCCATTAGCCGCGCCGATGACGATCCCAATGCCGGTGTTTGCCAACGCTTTGATGATAACTGGATCGGCTCCGTACAGTCTCACCTTCTCAAAGCTAGTTGACTTCAGTAAGTTCGCCGTCACAGTCGCCGGCGGTAAATTGTCCGCCACCTGGCCATAATTCACTCCCAAAAACGATTGAGCATCTGATAAAAAATCCACAAGAAATTCCCCGCAAGTCAGTCAAATTAAACAATTCATAAAAATAATAATCAAGGTAAAGCACCAAAAAAAAGGCATCAATTATAAAAAAGAAAAAACCGAACAGCTGGAGTCAAAAAAGTCCCAATCAAAGTCGGCTAAAAAAAAGGTAGAAAGGCGACGACACTTTTCTGGGTTCAGTAACTTGGACTAATACCTACTCGCCACTCAATTCTCCGCAAGCAATTCAATTGGTATTCAATTTAGTAGGTAACATAACAGAGTATTCTAGAACAGAGTCAATCTAAATCAAAACCAAACTGTTTTAATTTCCCTTCCCCCCCACCCCCAATGAGTGATTCCAATAAATAGTGAAAAAAGAGAAGCTAAATTCAAGGGTAATGAAGGATATACATACTGGAGAGGTGAAGGTATTGGAGAAAGATGAAGCAAAGCTGCAAGAGAATTGCAGGGTTCCGTTTCAGAGCCATATGTTTTGAGAATAAGATTCAGACGTACCCAAAGGATGAAGGATGGGACTGGTAAATAAATACTATAGTAATACAACTATATGAGGACGAGTTGGGGGATGGTGGGATTGTCTCTGTGTGTAACGGTAAAAATTGGTGAAATCTATGATGCAGACGACGTTTGGCGACTCTGAGTGAGTATGGGGCCAGGTAGGAAGCGTCGAAACCGAAATCCTTCCGAATAAGGGAATAAAAATGTGATTGGATTGTTCTGCTTCTTGTGTTTGCCTTTGATCCTCTCTTTCTGCGTGGATTGCGTTGTGGGTTTGGAATTTGGACGCGAGTTTTTTTTTTTTTTTTTTTTTTTGTGGAACGTGAAAGAAGAGGAAGGAGCCGGGAGGAAGAAATAGAAAAGTGGAATTTGGAAAAAGGTGCTACTCCTACAATATACGAAGAAGACTAGTTGTATATAAGACAGAGAGGCTGTTTACGAGTAGAAGACTAAGGCTGTTTACGAGTAGAAGACTACCGTAACAAATACTGTCTCTATCCCAAAATTATTATCTAATTTGAGATTTTACTTTTAGTACAATTTAAACTAAAAATGAAAACTCATATTAGATCATAATTATAGGACGGAGAGTACTTTAGTTCCTCTTACTCCCTTCTTTGTTATACCTCTTGCATCTAAACCTATCTAGATTGTAGTACAACCTTTTTGTGGGGATGTGGAAATTATTTCTTACTCTGTGATGCAAAATTGTTGACGGATTACGACTTTTAAGTTTTGGCGGTTTGATTGGATGGCAATCATTCTTGATCGATCGGCTACGTACATAGGAGTTTAATTTGTGATGTGATACGTACCTACACTCGACAAAGATTCAAGAATTATCCAATAAAAAAAAACCACAGAGATATGTATGTCATTCGATTTGGTAATTTCAAAAGGTTTATCTTAAATTATTAAAAGTTTTGATAGATTAGTTTTGATCGATGTATCTTGTAGTGAACTGCAATATGACATTTGTTATATACCCACCTCGTAAAAAACATTCAAGTCAGTATCAATGTGATGGATAAAATTTTTCCATGGACAAAAAATGTGTACTTAAATGGATCTATCAAACTTAGAATAACCGAAAAAACTGTTTTCGAAGTGAAAAGGATTAAATGGAGACACACTACCAAACCGAGGGTGAATTTGTTTCTTCTGATTTACACTAATCCATGCCTAAAACTGGATGGATAAGTGCTTAGCACTCAACCACTCTCTTTTGGTTACATCTTCCCCCCGGTTTGTCCTAAACCGAACATATATATATATATCTGTGTGTATGTATGTATGTATATATATATATATGTATGTATATATTTCGAAATGCTGATGTTGTTTTGATTCAGTTGTGTGTCTAAGCACAAACGTGTGTGTCGAAGATACCACCGACAATCGATAGAAGTAGTTTTTGGTCAGTTTGCGTAGTTGTGTGACCTGCATACCAAACATGAAACGGGATAAAGCAAGATCAGGATAACTACGTGCACTATTTTTTCAGCAGAAACGCCCACCATAGGTGTCATTTTCCACTTTGCCAAATGAGAAAAACACCATAGTACATCAGATGTCCATCATAAGGAAAAATGTGAAGAGACTTTCCAAGGCGCAAGTTCCCAAGAATTAAACCACATACAGTGCTCCGCATTTAATACAAGAGGCCGCTACATGGTACTATCTCGACAAATTAAGGCAGAATCAGATTTTCACTACTACTATCACTTCAATAAAGAAAAAGATAAGGACAAAAAATCAGTTCAAAACTTCAAGGTCACAGAAATTACAGGCACGAGACCTAGACACTCACCAAATGATTCATTAAGTGTAAAATCACTTTATCTATCAGAGAATACAAAAATACTGTAATCCCAACAGAAAGATCCACATTCACACTGCAGAGACAAATCGAGCAAATTACAACAGCCCCATCAAACAGAAAAATAAGCTATGGGGGATGAATGAAGCCCAGGGAAAAATAGCCCATATGTACCTCAAAACAAAAATCAATGACAACCATATCGGGAACAAAAGAACGGAACATTAATAGAAAACTGAGAAGAAACAAAGACACCGGCAAAAAGTAGTCCCTCCATTAAGCTCCGGAATGGGAGACGGGAGTGGTTATAAATTGACCATCTTTGTACACGTGGATATACTGCTGCGGTAATGAATGCTCCCCCTGCAGCAAATCGAACAGCTTAGAATACTTGGATATATTAATACGAGTAACTCTCTAGTAACTAACAGTCCTACAGTTACTTTTTGATGTGTCAGGATTCCATGGGAGGTACTGTAGTATTTAGAAAATATATGACAACTACACACAAATCCTAGTGATGCAGTAGTTCTATTTTAGCTCTCTGCGAAGGTGGGTGGTCAATAATTCATATGTTTATGCACATTAATGCAAACATTATTCAGTATTAAACAGCTGCAAACTAGAACAAGCAAAGATGATAGATTTAATTTCTTTCCGCTAACACCATTTGCCTCCCTTTGTTTCAGAATCAATATAAGGGGAATCAGTTAAATGTTTCCAACGATTTAAAGACAACAAAACACTAAATTCAAGGTTTCTTTTTTCTTTTAATGGGAATAAGCTTAGGAAAAACAATATGAGTAAAGAACAACTTTATACAGTACAGTGCAAATCTAGATTGAAAATATCCATTATCACTTTTGATTATGAAATTAAGTCTCTAATTATTCTTTTGGGTATCATTCTGAAAGTTAGAATTAAACATGCTAGAAAATTGATCTAACATACCCAATCATCATCTGGCCCAGCACCAGGTACAAGGACATTAATTTCACTTGACTTTGCTGTTGTTATCGAAGCATCCAAAGAATCTTTACTCAAATACAACTGGCAACCACCAGTATTGTCGACTGAAATTGTTGGAGCTGAGCCCTGAAATGACAAAAGCAAAAAAATCAAGAAAGTGAAAATACTAATAATAGATAATGCAGAAGAATACAAGTTGAAACCATTGACAGGCATGGTACGGAACATACAACTTCAGATTTCCTGGCACTTACGAAGGTCATGAAACTGAAAAACCTAAACATACCTGGCATTGCACTTCAACGCCATTGCAATTTACAATCTCACATGCTGCCACCACATCCTGCTTACCACGATTTCTTAATGGTAAATACATCAACCAACTTAATAAAAAAGCTGAACACGAACCATTTAGTCAATTACCTTGAATAGAATGCCCATCTTAGTGCATTTATCGATAGTTATGTTGTTAACTTTCCCTGCAAGCACAAAAGGTAACAGGGTAAAAGTCATAAATAAAATACAGATTCTCATAACCCGAATGAAGGGGAGGGGGAAGAATTTATGTAAAGCAATAAGGATTACCTTGAATCTGAAGGACAGAGTCCTTGCACCCGAAGACATACACTGACTGCTTTGAGTCACAATCATCAATTACTAAATCCTTCTTCCCAATTTGATTCTCCACCACCCATCTGCAGAGAAGAGCACAGATATGTTAAACTGAATTTACAACTAGCTTGGGGTAACCTAAACATAGGACAAACACCATTCACTTACTTACGACCCATTTGAAGCTCTAGTTTGGGAGGTCCTACTTTTGAGAATGACGATGAACTAGGTCGGGCTTCTTTCTCACCCGCACTGACAACACCAGTTCTATCAGTTCGATTCTTGGTCTTCATATCATCAGTAACCTTTCTTAATCCTATCAAGATTAATGTTGTAAGTATCCAGAATAAAATGTAAAAACAATAAAGGGAGGGAAGTAGTTACCAGACGTTACGGGCTTTCCAGAGTTGATTTCTTGAAAAACAGCAGACATCCCAGCCTTGGGTTGTGAGGATGAAGCTTTTGGAGGTTCGGAAGTAAAAAGAGAAGCTGGCGGGGGAGGCGGCGGAGCAGGAGCACCGGCTGCTGGGGCTTTAGGAGGAGCAGAAACAATAGTTTTCCCCGAGGCGCTCCATACAGGGCCTAATGGGCAATGAGCCTTGACATAATCTCTTAATCCCGGAACATAGAGCTCCTTCAGAGCTTTAGCCCATTCAACGTGATTTGGATCCTTGCTTCTGTACTCCACGAGAACCTAAATTTCAATGAAAATTTAAGAACATAACATCTACAGATTAATATGAGTGGTGGAAAGTGCTAAAAATACCTGGTACTACGTATGAAAATCCAAATAGACTTTTCAACATGTTTTATACTTCATACGGCTAAAAAATTTTCTATTTTTGACAATTCCGGTAATCTTGGTAGAAAATAAGCTTGGGTAACAGAAAAATTACACATTTTCCTATTCCGGGCACAGGAAAGTAAATCTGATTATTCATCCTGTAAATATAATAAGATATCCCACAGAACAGATAAATATATCTGATTGTTTATCCTGTAAATATAAAAAAATACCCCACAGGACAACAGATATAAGGACGCAAGCATTTAAGTGAAAGAATGTCCAGTGAAACAAAAACAAACCTTATTACTGTAAAATTCAGCCATTTGCCAACTTTCTTCCACATGAGCAATAGGCATGCTCATACCTATGAAATGCAAGTAAATCATGTCAGCTAAAGGAGAAGAAATGCATCCTACACTAAGTCTCTCGCCCGTACATTGGGTGGAATTAAGATCAACTTACCGCAGTCTTTTCCTGTATATGCAATCCAAGCCAGAGCGGTAAGACTATCGGCAGCGGCCTTCAAGTGGTTGAAAAAATCAGACCGCCTTCCTTCAGTCATTGTTGTTGCTTTCACAATCACCTCATTTAATGGTTTCAGAAACTCAACTAAACCAGACATGTCAGGTTTCTGAACAAGTGCAGAAAATACAAATGTCAAAGCCAATACCATATGGGAAAATCATAGGATCCATATAAAATTGACAATGAAAGTTATACGAAAGCACTAGATGACCAGTTTTTCATGTTATGATCATGCAGAATAACACGGAAACTTATGTGGCATCCAATTTCAGGCATTGCTTATCCAAAGTGTATCCAATTTCGGCCTAATCATATGCACAGAAGAACTGAACTTAATCACAAATCCGCAGCAGTTGTGCTTAAACTCTAGACTCTTCCCGTATATATCCAACAAAATTAGTTGTCAGCTTCTATTCATCAAACAAGCATAAAGAAAAATCGAATCTAAATTTCATTTATGTATTTCCACTAAATACAACCAACCACTTAGCTCATACATTATCAAATACTAATAATCACGAGCATATCCATGACAAATGGGAGAAGAACCACAGACCTGAGATTGCTTGACCTTGATTAGGAGCTCCTTCTGAGTGGAAAATGCCTCTTCAAGAATCTTAGTGACATCCAAAACCTGTCCTCCAATCTTCTCGGCAGCACTTGTAACCCTACCTACAAATTGCGATATCAGATCTTCGTATGCAACAATAGACGGATCCGAAGAAGCAGCAGCAGCATCTCCGCCAATATCCCGCGAACCTCCGCCTTGTCGAAACGACAGAGCTTCGAGCCGCGCCACTGCCGATTCCAACCTCTGTATCAACTTATCATCCATTGCCGCCGGCTTCCTCCGTCAACCACCCGTATTTGATAATTACTGATAATTATTATACCGTCTGAGAACTCAGTGAGAATGCGTACGTGGGAAATTTTTCAGGTACACAGATCTGGCGAATATATATCGTAATGATTATTCTTAGTGTTAGTAATTTTGAATTTTTCCAGACTTTTTTTTTAAAAAAAAAAAATTATTTTGCCGAAAGCTACAAGAAAAAAGGAAAAAAAAAAAAGAATGTGCGACGCAAATCCCAGACATAAGCGATTGGGGGGGTGATGAAAGGTACACGTGTCAGATGGATAGCAAATGGGGGCGGTTCTTAGCGCCTGATAAACACCTGTGTTTGCTTATTTGTGCTAATTCTTTTTGTTTTTCTAGACTTCTAAAATTAGTTTCCAAATTTTTTTTTGTGATTAATTTTTATCCGGCCACAGTCACTTAAACCTTCATTTTCATGGATATTTCCATTGATGAAGGAAAATTCAAAAATCATGTTAATGGTTGGAAATGACAAATTTTTACCTTGTCGAAGCAAAGATTCTTTCATTTTGCTATAATAATTCGATAATAGGATAAACGAATCTATTTAATTTTTTATTTTAAATTAGTGCTTGTGGGTCAAAATGATTATTTATCACTCTCATTACTCTGAAAAATAATTCAGCATTACATTATAACATTACAATAAGATAAATTATTTTTTATCTTAAATTAAATTTATAATATATATGTGTGTGTGATAATATAAAAATGAATAATATATATATTCATCACCACAGGATTTATACCGTTTTTGAAGCATTAATAAATGTAGTAATATAGTACTAGTTTGGAACTTTGGTTTGCAGTTTTTTTTTTCAAAGTTAAAAACCTTTTTATCAACATACTCTATTGTAAGATTAGGAAGGCTGGGAGGGAGTATCAGGTGGAGGATTGTTGTTAAGAGCATGGATGTTTTAATTAACAATTTATTTATTTTTAAGTTAACAATTTAGTAAAAAGGAAATAGCCATCAATCATCATAATTGAAAATGAAAGAAATTACTAATAAAGAACGTAAATGGCCCAAAACAATTGGAATAACTCTTTTTCTTCCTTTCAAGTCCACAAGAACAAACACTTTTTGGAACCACGATACAAGAGATAAAAACCAACTCACAACCTCATCTCAATGGTTCCCACTATTCACAAAAAACACCACAACAAACCTAAAAAAAATAAAATTCCAATTATCATATCATCAATCAAATCTCTCACTTTCCGGGAACAAAGTTGGTGGCGTAAGCCCAGGCGTTGTTGTTAACGGGATCAGCAAGGTGGTCGGACAGGTTTTCCAAAGGACCCTTTCCGGTGACAATAGCCTGAACGAAGAATCCAAACATGGAGAACATGGCTAATCTCCCGTTCTTGAGTTCCTTCACCTTGAGCTCAGCAAAAGCTTCCGGGTCATCAGCAAGACCCAACGGGTCGAAGCTTCCACCCGGGTATATCGGGTCGGTCACCTCACCGAGCGGGCCACCGGCAATTCTGTAGCCTTCAACGGCACCCATCAAGATAACCTGGGTGGCCCAGATGGCCAAGATGCTCTGTGCGTGGATCAAGCTTGGGTTGCCCAAGTAGTCCAGCCCACCTTCGCTGAAGATTTGGGATCCGGCCTTGAACCAGACGGCTTCACCGAACTTGACTCCGTTCTTGGCCAAGAGCTCAGGGAAGACGCACCCGAGGGCTCCGAGCATGGCCCACCTGGAGTGGATCACCTCGAGCTCACGGTTCTTGGCGAAGGTCTCGGGATCGGCGGAGAGCCCGGCGGTGTCCCACCCGTAGTCACCGGGGAATTCACCGGTGAGGTAGCTTGGGGGCTCGCCGGAGAATGGGCCCAAGTACTTAACACGGTCTGGGCCGTACCATGGGCTGCCGGATGAAACGGGGGCCTTGGTGGTTTTCCTCATGGAGACTCTTCCGTTACCCATGAGTTCAGGGGTGGATGGGGACAGCTTCACCGCCTGTCCGGCGAAGGAAGGGGAGGACAAAGCCATTGTTGAAGCAGCCATTTGTTACTACTGAAAGAAGAGAAGGAAAAATGAAAGAAATGTGAAGTTAGAAGCGTAGAATTGAATTGAATTGGCAATGGGAAGGACTGAGAGTATAAATAATTAAATATGAGAGAGGAAATTGGAAGGTCCTTATCTAATGAAGATCCTTATCTGTGTTGTGATTGGTTGATACTTGCTAATATTGAGGATGGCTTGATATTCTTAAGCTGACTTGGCAACGCCTGGAGCCACCAGCTTAGATTTTTCTTTCTATTCTGTACTCACTGGAGTGGAGTTCGACGAGTTTCCTCCACATATTGGAATAGTGTGAGTCAGTTTTTGTATTCTTGTACAGATGGGACGATATGACCGTTCACAATTTTTTTTTTGTTCGAAATTGAATGCTCTGAGGCAAAAAAAAAATTTTGAGAGAGAGGCAAAATAAAATGAGAGTGTCATCATCCATTTACCACACAGCAAAAAGTCACACAAAAAATCTTTTCAGTATTCTGATATTTTTACCTAGTATTCTCTATATTGTTAATTTATCACGTACAACTATTTGATATTGTTTATAAATTAATTAAATTTGTTGTATAATAAAAAAAAGGAGAGAGAATAATATAACAACACCACTAATAAGCCCTAAAAAATACGTTTACACTGAATTTTAATATTTTTATAGTAAAAAATTATATAATCCTCAAAACTCGATATCAAATATTTTTTTTAGACAAAGAAAGGGCAAATTATCCAGTACACCTGGGGGTACCGTGCCCCCCTCCTATTTTTTGCATTTTTAGCCCTTATTGTACTTTTATCAATCTTTCTATATTTTACAAGTATAGTCTCTGTCATTTTTTCTCTCTTCCAAAAAAAACATCTCTAATCTTTCAACGACCATATCTCCCAATCCGTGAAGAATTTGTGAACGAATTATATATGAAATTTATAGTACTCGTCGAGATCTATCCAACAAAATCCATAGTGAATATTTTTTCGGGCTTAAAAATGACTTAATTCTGATGGACAGAATAGGGGTGGATATCCAGTTTTACAAGATGGATAACCAATTTATTCTAAATTGGTTATCCATTGTGTTCATTCTGATTATCCAATCAGTTTAAACTGGTTATCCATTTTGTTTCTACTGTTTATTCATTTGGTTATCCAACTTTTTAATTCAAAATAAATTAGTTATCCATCTTCTTAAACTGGATATCCAATGTGTTCATATTGATTATCCAATGCGCTAATACTAGTTATCCAATGGAGTTACATGCTTATCCAAATTATTTGTACTGGTTATCCACCGTGTTCATGCTGATTATCCAACTTGTTTGTACTAGATATCCATCCATTTGGTTTGTATACATATCCAACTCTAATATTTCAACGACCATATCTCCCAATCCGTGAAGAATTTGTAAACGAATTGTATATGAAATTTATAGTACTCGTCGAGATCTATCCAACGAAATCCACAGTGAACATTTTTTCGGGCTTAAAAATGACTTAATTCTGATGGGCAGAATAGAGATGGTTATCCATCTTCTTTTTTTTTTGAAGAGTGAATGTCAAACATATGATTAGATAACAAGTACGAACTGAATGGACAATCACTCCAAACCGGTTGGATAATCAGCATAAACACAACGGATAACCATTTTTCAAAGAAAAATAAAAAACACGTTTCTTCATTTCTGCCCGTAAAATTTAAATGCATTTAAAGTTCAAAAAAATATTCAAAATTGATCTTATCGGATAGATCTCGTCGAGCACTATAAATTTCATATATAATTTGTGTTATAATTCTTTACGGATCAAAAGATACAAGGAACACAACAATATGAATGTAAAATAAGTTGCTTATCGATCTTCTCAAACTGGATATCCACTGTGTTCATGTTGATTATCCAATGCGCTAATATTGGTTATCCAATGGATTTACATGGTTATCCAAATTGTTTGAACTAGTTATCCAATGTGTTGATATTGATTATCCAATGTGCTAATATTGGTTATCCACTGTGTTCATGCTGATTATCCAACTTGTTAGTACTGGATATCCACTGTGTTCATGCATATCCAACTCTAATCTTTCAATGAGCATATCTCCCAATCCGTGAAAAATTTGTGAACGAATTATATATGAAATTTATAGTACTCGTCGAGATCTATCCAACGAAATCCACAGTGAACATTTTTTCGGGCTTAAAAATGACTTAATTCTGATGGGCAGAATAGAGGTGGTTATCCATCTTTTTTTTTTTTTTGAAGAGTGAATGTCAAACATATGATTGGATAACAAGTACGAATAGAATGGATAATCAGTCCAACCAGTTGAATAATCAGTAGGAACATAACAGATAACCATTTCTCAAAGAAAAACAAAAAACGCATGTCTTCATTTCTGCCCGTAAAATTTAAATGCATTTAAAGTTCAAAAAAAATATTCAACATAGATCTTATCGGATAGATCTCGTCGAGTACTATAAATTTCATATATAATTCGTGTTATAATTCTTTACGAATTATTAGATACAAGGAAAAGAATAATATGAATATAAAATAAGTTGGTTATCCATCTTTTTAAACTGGATATCCATTCTGTTCATACTGGTTATCCAACTTATTCTGCCCATCAAAATTTAGCCATTTTTAAACTCAAAAAAAATATTCGAAATGGATCTTGTTGAATAGATCTCGACGAGTACTATAATTTTCATGCATAACACGTTCTCTAATTCTTTACGGATTATGAGATATACTCGTTGAAAGATTAGAGATTTTTAAAGGAGAGAAAAAAAAAGTCACAGGGACTAAACTTGTAAAATATAGAAAGATTAAAAAAAAAGTACAATAAAGACTAAAAATGTAAAAAAGTACAATAAGTACATCATAATGTAATAAAAATTACTTATTCCATTAATGAATCCTAAGCTAGAAAGAAATAAATAAAGTCTCCAAATACTTTTTTTTCCATCCATTTTATTCAATTATACCATATATACATTGGTGAAACCAAACAAAAAAAAAGAAAGAATGATATGCTTTAATTAAGTTTTGCTCTCTTTTTTTTTCAAATTTTTGATAGAGCATAGATTATATATCAAAATATTTTTTAATATTTTAGTTGTATTTTTCAAAAACTTAGGCGCAAGATGTGTACCAATACATAATTGTGGACCTAATAATAGAAAACAAAATTGATGATTAAAATATTAAATTTATTGTGTCGACTTTATACTCAATTTAGTAAATATCGACAAAAAAAGTGGACGCAATAATTGTTCGTGGTAAATTATAAAGACTATGCATTTGCAAAATGTGAACTCTATACAAAAATCCTGTGTCAATGTGGTCGTCGACTTGTACAGATTGACAACAAAGTCGACAGCTGTATACAATTTTATCTTTTTTTTTTGGCTTTGTAATTATTTATTTAACGGTTTTGTCTTTAGACTTTTTACCCTAATTTATTTTTTTTAGAGTGGAAAAATTAAAATGAGAGTGTCATCATCCGTTTACCACACAGCAAAAAGTCATAGAAAAAATATTTTCAATATTCTGATATTTTTACATTGTATTTTCTGTATTGTTAATTTATCATGTACAACTATTTGACACTAAGCTCTTGCACTGCGTGGAGCCCTACAAGGATGAAGGTCAACTGAAGATTATTTGATATCTCGGTTGAATATGTGTCAATTCATTAAAATGAATTAGGCTTTATTATTTTTTAGCATTATTTTTGGTGTAAGAAAGTATAAGGGTGATATTGTCAATTCATATTATTTTCTATTCTAAGATTTTTAATAAATAAATTAATCGCTATTCATAAAAAATATTTTTTAATCATACCCTTTTTATTAATTTGATCTGTTCTACTGTCATTTAACTAAATTTTCCCAATATTTTATATAGTTTTTGTTTATGATTATTTGGGGAATTAATAAATTCCTCAAAGTTTAAATGTAAGAATGAATGAAAGTGATCACATAGTCTACTGAAGGTTTTTGGACTAGACATTCCCGTCGATCTTAATTTTTAGTACATGATTGTTCCTTCGTCTTTTTTTAATTGCAATTCATTTCGCTATTGTTTTTATTTTTATTTTATTTATTTATTTTGAGGACTCGTTGAGAGAACTGACGCCTCAAACGCAAGAACGGTCTTCACATCAGTACAAAGTCAAAGGCTCGAAAGCCCAAATCTGTTGGACTTTATAGACTTACAGAATTGGTACAAACTGGGTAACAGGCTTACAGTAAACAACAGCAACAAAGACCAACATAGAAGACAATTTAATAAATAAATTCTTTCTTACTTCCCATTGAAGTAGTATTTTATTTACACATCTTGGGTAGTAAGTGCTCAAAAAGATGTCTTATTCTTACTAGTCTAATATCACCAGGGACGTCCATTTGAAGCAGAAATAAGAATACATGCGTTACTATATAGATAATACAGTCCTCGTAGTAATTATTTACAATGGCTCATCAATCAATGGCTTTTGACTATATATATTGTAACTAAATGATGCAAGTATAAGGATATAGCTATCGTAAATCCTTGCATAATAAGCAATCAAATAATAATATTTCCTCTAGAATCTTATGTTTGCTTCCAAAACTAGGATACCTTCTCTGATGTACCCGCAACCGTAGTCATCTCCTCCTAGATATGTGGTCTTCATCACCAACTGTTGCATCCTTGCTTGCCTGTTGAAATCTCGAGCTACCCACTGTATATGGATGTAAAGAAGTCGTTTCTTGGGTTGGCCGAGGCTCCTGTACAATTACAATACAGGTAAAAACAGCAAGAATTTGCTGAAAGATTGATAGTTCTCAACAGAAAAACAATGACATGTTTAGAGCTCAATGGTTTATCCAAAACATGAGATCTTGCAGTTGGATGAAATGTCACAGGAAGAGGGACAGGTTGCACCAGCCCTTTATGATCGCATGCCCTTTCTGATAAAGTGATGTCACTGATATGATTATGTTTGTCAAGAGGTCAATTAACATTTCACCTAGAGGTTATACTCCAAGTCTTTCCTTAATGTACAATTTCTTTGTAACAAATCACAATACTGAACTACGTTTAGTGCTTTTCAGGTGTTAGGTAACACTCCAAAAAGGTCCAAACTACAATGATCTGCAAGTAAAAGTTTACCACTTGGCATGAACTAATTACCTGATAATTAAAAAGATGTTTTCACAAAGAAATACTTACGAGACTCGACACTGAAATTTTAGAATAATGAGAAGAAAATGAGAAGAAGCTTACAGCACGGAAGGGAAATTCTTCAGCTTCAAGCATGTGCACTATTTGTCCCATCTTTGGTCGCTTGTTCACATCCAAATCTATACAGCGAAGGCAAACCAACAGCACTCGCTTCAAAGCTCTTGACGGAGGAGGAACCTCAATTAGGGGGTCTAACAATTCTTCACCACGACGATTTCCAACCATTCCTTTGAACCAATCAACCAAATTCATCTGAAATTTTCCCAGAAAAGTTTAAACGAGAAGAGAATGAGTTTATATCCTGACAATGTTTGTGTTTGTGCTTTAGCTTTTTCTTATTTGTTTTTCCTAAATTTGGAGTGGTGGATAAATGATGATTCTTTAGGTATAAGATCAGAAGTTTTCACCTCTGCAGGTGGCCTGGAATAGTCAACTGGACTTCTTCCAGTAATTATTTCCATAAGCAGCACTCCGAAACTATACACATCGCTCCCCTCATTAAGCATACCGGTGCTTGCATAATCAGGGGAAACATATCTGCAGGGTTATTGTAGGAAATAATTAAAACCTAAACCACACAAGTAGAATCGTGGCTTTTCATTGAATTGCTTGACAGAATGTTAATTGAAGAAGTAAAGAAAACAAACCCAAATGTTCCCATCACTCTTGTAGTCACGTAGCTTTTCTCAGGTCCTAAAAGCTTGGCAAGGCCAAAGTCCGATACTTTTGCATTCCATTTCCGGTCAAGAAGAATATTGCTAGATTTTACATCACGATGCACAACTTTAGGTTCCAATCCCTCGTGCAAGTAGGCAAGCCTGTTCCAGGGGTCAAAACTTATCAAAACTACCAAAAATTCCGCAGACAACATATTTAAAATCACCACCATAAAGAAAGGATTGGTGGACTTGACACTCACTAATGCTACATAGATAACAACTTTCATTGCCAATCGTGTATCATCAAAGATCTTTATTAATGTGTTGAGAATTTAGTGGGATAGATTATAGTTAAGGTCTTTCATGAATGTTAGAATAGCTTGATAACTGGATGGTTTCATGGAAGAATGAAAACCCAGAAATTTGGTAAAATCACATTTCACATTCCATTGCTCGTGTGAATTTCATATTAAAATCTTCTTATCTAAGAGATGCCACTTACCCTTTCGCCGTTCCAATCGCAATTTTCATTCGGATATCCCAAGTTAGTGGGCTAACAGGTCCGACATCTCCATGCAACCATTGCTCCAAGTTACCATTATCAACATACTCATAAACAAGCATCCTGAATTCACATTGACAATTCCATCCAAAAACATAACAGGGAAATAAAAGAAGTAGAATCTTCAATTAATAATCTTAAGCCAGAAAACTATAAATGTATAACAGTACCTTTGAGGTCCTTCTGCGCAATAGCCCATAAGGCCAACGAGGTTCTTGTGTCTCACCTTGCCTATAGCTTCAACTTCCACCTTGAATTCCTTTTCAGCCTGACCCCTGATGATAAAAATGATCGTTGTGAAAATTTCAAAGTTGAAAACTTACAATATCATAAGAAACTGAATTGTCTGAGATCCATTGTCGATGATCATCGCTATCCCCAGTAACCCAATATTATTCACATAAAAGAGGAACATGGCAGGCATTACCAAATCGAACATGGCAGGACCTTAAATAAAAGACTAAGCTTAATAGTAACAGTTAACTCAGTATATTCTGGTAAACCAAAACAAAGATAATTTGTCAGACTATAAGTCCACAGTCTTTGAAAAGATCTCCAACCCCCATTCAGAGGAACTATTTAATCTTATTTCATAACTTTATCTGTTGAGGGTCTTTTCAAAATACCACCGTTTGACACAGTGATACATTTCTGTCTGGTTTTAAAATGCAGCCATCAATTCATCAAGTAATCACGCTGTCTTCAACTTTATCTTTTAATAAATATCTACAACCATCATGGTACAGAAAAAGATGATCATTCTTTAGACCAGATTAATATTAGAAAAAGAAGAAAAGTAATCTCCAAAAATCTTTCCAAAGCTCAATTTGTCTCCCCATCAAACAAACCTGATCAAAACAAAAGGTAAAAAAGACAAAAGAAAAGAATAAACAAGTGATGCTCAATGTCAAAGAATTACACCAAGCATAGTTATGAACTGGTGTTAATTTTATTTAATCAAAACACCCTCCAAATAAAAGAAAAAATAGGCCCTTGAGAAAAGTTAAAAATAGGAAGAACAAAAGGGAGATAAAGAACAAAGCGACCATTTTACTTTACTTTTCTTTAATACATTTTGGGACTTTAGTCAAAAGAGACAACCTCACACCTAGTAAAATTTCATTCCAGATCTAAGAAGCTCTGTTTCAGCTGAAATGACAAACTCAGAGGTACTGAAAACCATGAAACCGACGCTTGAACCTGGACCAGGACCAGTTATTGAACAACGCTCAACCAAAATCACCAATTTTTAAAACGAATTCTGCTTATGTTCACAATATAAAAAGGAAAAAGAACGATCAGAACGTATTGTATACTTAAACTTTCTGTTGACGGCAAAAGGCAATTACGTAAGCAATCGAATAAATCCAAAAGAAAATAATTAATGTGATTCGATGGGGGATAAGCGCAAATGGTATGAACCGTCAAGACTTACTTCTTGTTGAGAAGGTTCTTCACGGCAACTTCAGAACCGTCCGGGAGAACGCCTCTGTAAACGATGCCGTATCCGCCTTCTCCGATCACATTCTCCACCGCGAATCCGTCGGTGGCAGTTTCAAGCTCCTTCAAGCTGTACCACCTTCCCCACCCAATGTTCATACCTTCACCGGAAGTCGAGGTCGTCGTCGACGCCGTGACGGCAGACGACGACTCGCTTTTACTCGTACTCGAGTCGTTACTCTCCGAACTCCCTTTCTTACGGAAATTCGATTCAATCTCAACATCTTTACTCAAAATCGGTTTACTCTCCTTCTCCGTCTTCGCACCACCGGCGCCGTTCCCAACCCGATCCGATTCGTTCACACGGTCAATTTCTTTAAAAACCAGAGGCAACAATCCAGAAGAACCCCGACCCAGGCTGCTGATTCGGCGGCGCTTTTTACGCTGAGAACGGAGGAACAAAAAGATCAGCAGGAAAACGGCAACTGTGATGGCAACAGTTGCGGCAATGATCACGTAGAGCTTAAGCCCAAGAATGGGAGTCTTGGAAGTGAAAATACTAGACGAAGAAGAATCACCGGAGCTGTGTTTAGCCCCGGAGGAGGAATTGCCGGAAGACACCATTCCGGCCGACGATTGGGGAAACACGAAATGGAGCTGAAGTTGGTGGAGGAGCGTGCCGGAAGAGCTTCCAAATACTCAAATAGTAAGGAATAAGTAAATATAGGACTAACAGGAAGAACAAGTTGATGAAGGGGAGAAATGTAGGACCCGCATTATTTTTGAAATCGTGCGTGGCTGCGTGAAAGAGGTGGTGGGGAGGGGGTGAGTAAATGGAAAGGCTTTAAATTTGGTTGCTATTAATCTGAACCTTGAAGGAGAAAGAGAGAGTGATGGGGCTGGGCGCGCGGCGTTCAGTGTTTTGTTTTCTGGTGGGGAATTGGAACTTCGTCAGCTATGTCCGTCTTAATTGCAGAGAGAGAGAGAGAGAGAGAGAGACGAAGAAGAAGAACTTAAAGAAGGAAGAGAGTGAGGAGGTCATGAAAATGAGAGTCCGCTCTTAACGGCAGAAATGCAAAAATGGAAAAAGACTTTGATGTTACACTAAAAAATAGTAAAATGGAAATTACTAATAAAAGTTTATTACAATTAAGCCCCCTCCCCCAAAAAAATTTATTGATGTCCAATGTTTGCACAAAATTTCAATGGTCGTAGTAAGTAATCACTGTAATATTTACGATTTAGCGATGCGTTTTCTTCTACTTTGATTTATTTTTGGATAGTTCTTGATCAAAATCAAATTTTATATCTCGTAGTAATAACAATTTACAGGTTTAACCGACCTACAGTAAAAAATATTGAATAGTATGAAATTATCTTAAAATATCGAATTTCATATCTCGTGATAATAACAATTTATGATTTAATGGACTTAAGGTAAGGAAATATGAAATAATAGTATGAAAATTAGCTTAAATTAGCATTTATCAAATGAAAGTAAGTTTTTCGGGTGGGAGGGTTGGGTGAGGTGATGAGGGGATTAGAATGGGGATGATAATTATTGGGAGGTCGAGAGTTCGATTCTCACCGGGGCTATCCAATTTTTTTTTTTTTAAAAAAATGAAAGTAAGTTTTTCTTTTCTTTTCTTTTTTATACAATCTTACAAGAGATGCTATAATTACACACCTCTTTCGCTCATCCATTAGGTGTTTGAAAGGCCTTTGTGGTTGTAAACACGATGTGCTATTTGCTAATGGTGGCAATAAAATTCGTGTTACCTCAATTGATGTCTATTTTCTTAAACACTAAACTCTTTCTCTTAGCAACTAAAAATAAGTTGAAATATAAGAGACAAAATAAAAATCGGTAAAAGAAATAATTAGATTATATATCTATATAAAAGTGTGACATTTCACTTTCAGTCTTTAACATACAAAAACGATAGCTAATTACAAATTTGGAAAATCAGAAAAGATTGGATGTTACATTTTGGCTTTTTTAAGAAATTATAGAAAATAGCCAAAGTTTAAGGAGTTACTAGCAATTTAATAAAAGCAACCAATAAAAGTGCTACCGAAATAATAAAATAATAGGGTAACACTCCCTGTAGTCTCTCTCTATAGGGTATACCCTACACACTACAATTGTATACAGTACTAGGTGGTGGTTTGAAATATTTGACTTGGATATTTTAGAAGCAAACAGTGGAGACATAAGAGTTTGGGGAAATAAAAGAGACAAGGAAAAAGAGAATTAAAGAGAGAGCAGCAGATATTGATGTCACCGTTAGGGATTAGGTCAGTGTCTTACGGGCAGTGGTAGTAGTATTTCGGTTTCCTACAGAAGGGCCACTGACCGATCGTACTTTGGGCCTTGAGGAACTCGTAGACCGTAGTCGTAGACAAGGCGCTTTCTCTGCAAAATACTCCTCTTTCCCTCCTTAGTTCGGTTGAAGATGTCGGCGATACTGTGTTATATTTTATTTTTTCCCTCTCATGGTTAGAAGTTGGTTCTACTGTTTCCTTTCCTTTTCTTTTCTTTGGGTACACGGTTTAGTTGAGAATTTTTATTTTCAAAATATTAAAAATTGTAAAACGTATCCCCGATTAACCTTTGCCTATTTCTTAGTATTTCCTCTGTCTCAAAATTATTGTCCAATTAAAAATTTTACTTTTAATGCGATTTGAACTATAAATAAAAACTCAAACTGAACAATAATTATGAGACGGAAGGAGTATTTTTTTTTTAAAAAAATATTGTTTGCCGGTGCTTGAGATTGACGTGACATGAGTTCGCTCCTTGATATGTTGTTGTTTCGGAATGTAAGAAATCCGAAAATAACTAGTAGATTTTTGATAATGTATGATTGTTACATTTTGTGCAATTTTAGTAGACATACGTAGACAACATCTTACACTAGAGCTTTCCGATATAGTAAAATGTAAACGTGGTTTCGTTTTGTAAGAAAAAACCACAATCTAAATCAAATCACATCTAAGACACTTTAAAGTTTCGACTTATCTTAGAGTTAGAGGTCAATATTAATACATGTAATGGTGTTTTTGACGATTTTTCAATCTTTGGGTAACTGACGAATTGATGTTGCAAATCATGGAGATAAAATTACGAAAATTCGTGTCTTGCATATATATATATATATATATATATTTCCCGAGTGGTTGAATGACCTTCAGCATCAGAAAAAAAAAAAAATACATTTGGTGCATCTAATTGTTGCAGTATTATTAATATGCTAATTTGGGGAAACAAACAATTTAAAACTTGCTACCGCATTAAAGAAATTTAAAATGTGCCTACACTCCAAAATGCTACTAACATCGATCGACGACCTTCACCTCTTCCTTTCAGCTTCAATTTTTATGTGATTGGGGACTCTTTCCAATCATCGGGTATAGTCCAAATGAAGCATCTAAGAAAGCCAACTCGATCGTACTATAAATGCATATATACGTTGTCTTCTTCTTGAGATGGAAGGCTAAATTAAAAATGGAGGTAACTCCGGTTTCTGGAATTGAGCAAACTGTACAATATCAAAACAGACAACCAATGGAAAAACTACAGCTACTCCCAACTGGGGAAATCGACTTAAATTACATTTGATTACTTGTTATATACTCAAAGGTCAATGTATATATAAACAAGTCAGCCCATGCTGGCAAAAGTTGAAGACATAAAATTAAGCATGTATATTTAGTATGTACTACGTCAATTTAATTAACAAATAATACCATGTGCGATGATGATATGGTAGTCAGCTCCATCAAGTACATATTATTCAGTCAATTTACTCAATCATAAGGATTGATGAAACCATTCATAAAGTTATTGACCAAAGTGGGAACTGGGACGAGATGAAGATGTTGTTCTTGTTCCCATAAACTTGAGGCTTTTTATAACACGAATAAACTATTCATTCAAACGCCATTATTATTTATTACCCTCTCGATGATTTTCAGACACCTGCTGAAACGTTTTTTTAGCATCAAGTTCAGATCAAATCTAACCACAAATAGATTGGTCGTTGAGATGACTCGTAACCCATAAATTCGAATGGGTCAGGCTTTGGTTAAATCCTACAAATTGGCCCAAATGCAGGAACACTGATTTGTTAGAAACGTCTTTTGTTTAAGCAGGACTGCAGTGCAGGAGTAGTTTTCTTTTGGGTTTGTTTGTTTGTTTTTTTTTTATTAATTGGTATTTGAAAGTAGTATTAAACAATGTTGGAGTACTAACAATCTGTGAAAAAATCAATTGGAAACCAAGAAAAAACGGGAAAAAAAAACCCCACTGCATGAGTGTGACCAAATAAAAGTAATGGTTTCTTTTCATTTATCATACAAGTTGTAAATTGGTCATTAAGTAAGCATTTCGACTATCTTTGAATCGTTTATGAACATTCATATCTTTAAATAATTGTTTAGTTTAGAATTTCGCTTTCAGTAGAGTTTGAACTAAAAACGAAAATTCACTTTAGGAGTTTTTTATTGTTTGAGTTTAATTACATCTTACCTTAATTTGGATAATCTTAATAGTGATCAATAGATTTTCCTCACAACCAACAAAAAAAAAAAAAAAAACCTTTCCTTTCAAAAAAATGTAATCAACCTGCATTTCTCTTCTACCTAATTGGGTAATTTTCTCCGAATTTATGGTCTTCCAATCCCTTTGACAAAGGCTGTTACATAGAGGTTTGGTCACTAGACCTGAAATCTTGAAAGCGTAAAGAAAAAGGAGGACAAGTGTTTCATGGAAAACCGGAGCACAATAAATCAACAGTGTAAATTGGTAAATTCTTCAGGGTAAAACCGTCAAAGCGACATTTATTCCACACTATCTCTCGTACACGTCGCCATCCTTATCCTTAAACATCCAGTAATCCTCCACTTCAATCCCCAATTAGTAATTCCGAATAGCACTGTTCCGATTCTTCAACCTCCGACGTCGTATCGATTCATTTACCCGACAGAAATGGCGACAGGCGGTGGCCCTGGCATCGGCTGGGGAGGCGGCGATAGCAGCGGCGATGGCTGGAGAGCCTGGCCGACGGCAAAGAAACAACGCGCGGGGAGTGGCGGCGGCGGCGGCTGCGGCAGTGGGACTGGGTGGGAACCCAGAATGACGGAGAAGAAACAACGGGCGGGGAGAAGCAACACCCGATTCCCTTCCACCTACGCTATTATCATTGGTTCTTCCCCCGCCGACGATTCCCCCGACGAGCTCCCTCACAAACCCAGTGGTGGCGGTGTCCGACGTTCCGCTTCGTATTCCCTCCTTGATGCGTCCTCCGCTTCATCTTCCTTCTCATCCCCTGCCACCGCAGGTTTCGGCGATTCCTCCACCGCCGATGTCATTCTCCATCTCTACATCGAAAAGCCGTCCCTTTTTGACTCCAGTGGTTCCGAGCATGCTCCGGCATCCGACATTTCCGATGTCCATCTGTATCTTCATTCCGACGTCCTTCGCCGTGCTAAGTACTTTGACGCCTTGCTATCCGATCGCTGGCAAAAGGACTCAACCCGTGATAATGTTGAAAACCCTCAAATTATCTACCGATTGAACCTTGGGGTTTCGCCTTCTTATGGATCAATCGATCATCACTACTCTGTTCTTAAACTCCTCTACAGCAGTGATCTCTCTGGAATCATTAACAACGTCACGAAGGCTACGTCTTTACTGCCTGTAGCCTTAGAATTACTCTTCGAGGACTGCGTCAAGTTTTGCGTGAAATTCCTTGAGGCGGTGCCTTGGACTGAAGATGAGGAGAAAAAAGTCTTGAGCATAGTCCCATTGCTAAGGGAAGACGAGTCTCAAGAGCTATTGGCTAGGGTTTCGCCTGCAAAAAACGATTCATCTGAAGAGATGCTTCACGGTTTAATTATGTCGGCCATCCATAATCATCCAAACATGGCCTTAGCCAAACTTTTCGTGGCGAAATTGCTGAGGGATTATTCATCAAAGGAGTCGGCGAGGAGAGTGTTGGATCGAGCTTTTCAAACCAGCTTGAAAGTGGTCAAGGATTCGATGGAGCAGTATTCTAGTCCAGACTTTCGGGGCGACCATAATGAAACTGAGGCAATTCAGAGATTGAACTTGCACACTGCGATGACTAGTGGGAGGCATTTGTTGTGGCTGATTGAGAGGATGATTGAGTTGAGGGTTGCTGACAATGCTGTGATAGAGTGGAGTAACCAGTCTTCTTTGACTTCAGATTTACAGAGGGCTTTTCGTGATGATGCCTGGAGGAACATTGTACCTGGATTCCCGTCTTTGATTCTTCGTTGTACTTTTAAGCTTGCTAATGCTGTTTCAACTGGGGTTGTTTTGGCTGCTAGACAGGTATTTCTTAGAACTCTGTCATCATTAAGCTGGGTATTCCGTCTTCAAAATGTTCCTTTAAATTTTTATTGATTACTATGTTGCTGTGATAGAGATGGAGCAATATTGACAAAAATGGTTGAGGCCTGAGGGTAAATTCTTTTTTTTTTTGTTGGGATTCAAGTGTTTGCCTCACCTTTATATAGAATAGGAATAACATGCAATAAAGGGGGTGCTGGGATATGATTCTGCTGAATGGTAGAAAAAGCTTTTTCCTATCATATGAAGATTGTCGTTAGGAGTTGGTGAGTTGGTTTTGTTCAGGTGGCTTTCTTTTGTGGTTGATGTTGGATGATCTAATATGTGGACAGGTGCGGATGGGGCTTGTCAAAGATTGGCTTCCAGTGGTGATCGCATGCAAAGATGTGGTTACCCCTTTGGTGTCATCGACCTTTAAATCTCTCTATCCAGAGCTAGAACAGGTTTTCCTGAATATCATATCTACGCTTCCCATGTCAGATGCTCAAGAGTTGTTGCAGCAGTGCGTTAGCTTTTCAACTCGAAATGTTGATGACTGTCCACATTTGCTCAACGCATTTACGACCTGGTTCCGGCGTGCTGACCAGTACCAGTAGTTGGCTGAAACTGAACGCCTTTAGAAGTTTCTTAGTAGGGTGCTTCTGGTAACACATTTGTTTCAAAACCTTTTTTATTGCCGTACCGTAGCCTTGGCGTCTGTAAATGTGGGTTCTTGGTAAACTTCATTAAGTTCGCGTTCTTTTGTTTTGTTTTGGGAGAGGTACTTCTGATGGTGGCAACTGTTTGTTTCCTGGACCATCTGAGACCTCAATAGGCAAACTAGTGCAACTTTGAATCTGTAGTTATGAGTTTAAACATCTGCTGTATATAAATCTACTAGTTTGCTTTAGTGTTTCTTGTCTACCGTTGTTTCATTTCTGACTCTACTATATCTACTTGTATGTTATCTCCTCAAGAGCTGGTATCTTTGGTGACTAAGTTTACCGTTTATGGTTGTAATGCTCAAGTTCATTAGGAGGAAGCAAAAGAGGGATGGAAAATGGGGGATAATGGAGAGGCGATCAAATTAATTCACAAACTGAATGTTTTAAAGGCTTGAATTGCTGTTTCTTTGATGAAGTACTGAATCAAACATGCTTCTGCATTTTTTATTTTTTATTTTATTTTTTTTTAAGTTACCAGTTGCATTTATGTTGAGTTGAGGGTAACATTATGGGAATTCACTGGAGGCATCAATGAATGAACTCAAATTACCAGGTAAGGGAAGTGTGTGTGGATATCTCAGTCAGGACGAACCTTAATGCTGTAAATCGAGTCAAAATGTGACTGGTTTCAACCTGCTTTTGTTTTGAACAAAGATCATTAGAAACAGCATTTCTTACAGACTCCACAGAAAAGGAAAACGGATTGATTGTACTGTGTTTTCCTGAAGACGAAGTAGTTGAATTACAAATTACAATGACCCTCACAGAAGATCTAACACTGATTAACAGGTTATGTTATTCTGTTACATGGTTCCATCATCCATGAGAAGTACCTCTAGACAAAAACTAACAGGGTTATTTCGGTTAGGCGATCAAACATAAAGGGCTGGCGTGCTTCACCAGAGATCATGATGCAAGAAACTGGACTTTAGTAACAACTAACAAACATGGTGATCAGATATTTCAGAATATCCTCCTCCTGAAGTTTCTTGTGGTTCCTTGGTACGCTTTCACAACTAATCCCACCCCTATTCCAACTCCAACACAAATGCTAAGGCCAATTCCCACGCCTACCCTAACTCCTGCATTAAACCAAGTCAATTCTTCATCCTCTCCATCAAAGTATAGGGGATAAGGGTGGTTGTAATCTTCATTTTCCGGCTTAAAGTCATTCGCCTCTGCAACCTGCAATGGTTGAACCGTTCAAGGAAACAGTGTTGCTGTTACTGAAAGGAGCATTAAACTCTTAACAGCAGACTATTGATTGTCACTAGAAACATAGACAAGGGCTTTCGGAAACCATAGCGCGGTTCTTGCTCTAGATTAGGAATGCTGATCCTAAGATCCTTATAGATTACTAATTTACTATTATTCTTGTATGGCTGCATACTATGCATAAGAATCTATTTTTCATGCTTGGAGATGATCAAATGGTAAAGAAAACCGCAGCAAACACATGTGGGAAGACACTGAAAACAATGGGATAATGCTGCCATTTAGTTTATTAAAGTAACACGGGACGAGGAAACACAAATTCCGGGGAATCACCAGCCTGTGTAATAATCAAACAAGATCATTCCAACCCCTTTACTCGACCTTCTTATTGTTAGTCAATGCAATACTATATTGTGGTACCCCCGAATCTACATTGCAAATCAGAAACCTTCATTGCGAAGTATCAAGAGTCGGCTTTGTATGACTGCCAGAGGTTAACACAGAATCATCTTGCTATGTAAAATGCAGTTTCTTTCACTATGAACACTTCCATTTCATCTACAATCAGTAAGGGATCTGGTTAGAAATTACTGCACCAAAGAAAATAAATCCTATACTTGGAAACACGTGCCAGACTCATGTTGCCCTGGTGACCAGGATAAGTTTTTATATGCCTGCCAAATATTGCTTGAATCAAGACGATTGGTGCATGATAAATGAAATACTGAGGACACTGACCGGAGGATACAATCCTATTAAATTAGTAAAATGGAAATCAAAATTGCAGAAAGAACAAAATCCACAAAGATCATTTACAGCAAGTCAATCTAACAATTGCAACTTGAATATACCTGCATTTGAAGGGTAGATGATGGACTATCTTTCTGGTATTCACTGGCCTCATATTCTGGAATGGAATCCAGCATTGTCTTCCTCATCTGCTTTCTTCTTAGACTAAAATGCAGAGTCTTGGTCAGTATAATTGGACTACCCAAGAAACTACCGGCCACATATACTTCGATAGCTGGTGAGCCTTGTTCCGAATTGGCATACTGATTGAGGCCAGTTTCGTGTAGTATACCCGACCCGCAATTCATACTCCAGTGATGCTCATAATGTCTTGATTCTCCTCCGTTATATCCATTACTGTCACAAGCTTCCAATGATCCTGATAACACAAGAACATCCTTATCGAAAACCTCAAACTTCACACTTCCTGTCATTCTAATACTATCAGTACTAACGAAGGTAACTTCTTCCGACTTCTTATCTACCCTATCTCTTCTCAATACAGTAGACACACCATCTGAATAGAGGCTTGTCCTAACACCATTTACTTCCAGAAGTGTATCGCGGTTGAGAGGAACATGATTGAAGGTAAGGAATTCTGGAGTACTTGACTCATCAATCTCACACTTGCAAAGTCTGACATAAAAAACCCTCAAATCAAGCCAAGATAAAGAAGACTTGATGGTGCAGCTGCTTGACTGGTAATCGTAATGCCTTGTTGCGGTGCAGTGGCCATTTTCAACCACCCCATTTCCATTTGCTCTGTCATGAACATTCTCCATGTTCCTCAGGGAAATTTCAATATAGATTCAACAAACAAATTCAAACAAGGACCTAGATGGACATAATGAGGACTAAAGAACCCACATCCAGAAACACTGGGGCGAGTAAAGCCAGCCTAGATATTTCAAGGAAGAAGTAGTAAGAAAGGCGTTCTCAGTGCTAAATGTTCCACACATTTCAGTGAGCAATAAGAAATCCAAATGTGAAAGAAAGGACCCAAATTTTCAACAATATGAACAATCTAAGGCTAATTAACAGTTTTTCAAACAAGCAAACACGAAATGAAGAAGGAACAATAGGTGAAGGACGACACAGAGCCTCAAAAGAGAAACAGAAAGTGTCACAGAGAAAAGAGTCCTACCCTTTAATTCTTGTGAAGAGGAAGACAAAATACCATAACGGAAGCAGAGAAACAGGGAAAAAGGAATCAGCTTGACAGGTGGGAGAAACTGAAAAAAAGCACCACCCCCGGATGATGAAGTACAGAGATAAGCTTTGCAGTTTTGCAGTAATTCTGTCACTTCACGTAAAAGAGAAGGTTCCAAAAATGAGGCCAACTGGTTTTTTTACTGCACAAGAAAACTAAATGGCATTGGCACCACATTCCCACGAGACAATACATTCCTAAACAAAACATATCAAATCTAATTCTACCATAAGTAAGTAGTACCAGATGTAGTGATACATTACAGTATGAAAAGCCCTGATATTTAGCATTTAAGGCCATTTGGGAATCATAAACTAAAGAAGCCCAGAAGAGAGAACAAACAACAAAAATTTATTTTAGTGTTGCACATGTTTCAAGAAGGTTGGCTGGACTAAAGGACAGATTAATTTTTAATTCTTATTTTAGACATCCACAAAAAAATTGCAGACAGCCCCCAGAGCCATGTCCGTTTTAAAATTCTGTGTAGTGTGTGTTTTTACTTTTTAGGGGGTGCTGGTATTATAACTTATATTCAGAGCAAACAAAACCACAGGTTCTATCCACCATTACCAGAGCTCCATCTGGTTTTGTGTAAACACATACACGCACTACACGACTCAGCAACTCTCCGGCCACCATGAATATCTCTGTTTCACTTCTTTGGGAGCCTCTGTTTTTCAATCATCAATTTTCAAATACAATCAAAGCAGCTCTGATAATTTCTGGACTCATTTTTCCCAGGCAGGAAAACAACAAACAGACTTTTACAGGGTACAGTATGTTTCAACAAAGCACTAACATTTAGCATAAAACTCCATCACCAGCAATTTAACTACAATCAATTTGAACACAAACGATTCAATCTTTAGAGAAAGAATTACTGAGCTCAACTCCATCATCATCATCAGCAAATATTAAGGCAGTGACTAGTAAGATGTGGTGGGCCCCCCCAACCCAAGCGTATCTAAATAATATTCCTGAGATCTTATCCTGCAAATTGCAGAAGAGAGGGTTGAAAATGTCGATGTAAAAGAAAGGGATTTGCAATTTTGCAATGTAGTAGCAAATACGAATACAATACGACTAGTTGCATTCAATACAGTTGGTTTGTAAATTACACTCCTCCACGCTAGCTCCACTTGGTGGTATTCGTTTCATTTGGCGAAACATTCCCACAAGATTTAGAGACCCATCAAGTTTATGTTATCAGATTAATCAACCATTGCAACCAATCCATAAAAATTACAGGGAGTCATCAGAAAGAGCTAAACTTGAACCCCAAATATTGTTTTAGAAATATAAATACAGCATTTATTAGGTAAGGACATTGCGGGTTCCTCTCAGAATCCATGTATGAACGAGTTAATCCCAGGTTCAATGTTGCTTTCATTAGTAATTTACTAGTATTCTTAAGGAATCCCGAGAACCATGCTCAGAACCAAACGATTCTCGTACGCAAAGTCAAAAGTAAAAGCACTGCATTCTGCCAATTTAAAATTGAAAAACCACATGTATCAAATTCGATATGAACCCAGTTCCAAAAATGATAAATTGATGGTACTAACATTCACTAATTTGAATTTCCCGGCTCATGAATCTTTCGATACGTGAAAACAAAATACGACGGAATGGTTACCCTTACAGAGAGATTATACAGCGACAAACTACACAGGCGAGATCAGTTTTTGTAGTAGTACAAGTGATTTAAATGTGGGACGGTTTGAGGGTGTCGAGGGCATCCAAACTCCTTGGGCTTCGTTCTAGAACGCCACACTATCCCTCTAGTGAGTGGACTGAAAGAGCACGTGAAAATGCCACAGAATTACACCCTCTTCATGCATTTCCCACATGGCCTTAGGCATGGACGGACCGTTCTTAATTCAACTGGTTTCCGTAAGACTATAGCTGTAATAATAGTACTCTTTTCGTCAATTTGTATTCAAATAAAAAACCTAAACTGGATCATGATTTTAGAACAAAGTGAATATTAATTAATCCCTTTATTTGGATTTTCAAGCATATGGAAATTACTCCATTTTGCTCAACTCACTCGTCTCAAACGTATTCGAAAATTGCTATTGCTTAATCTTTTATGTGTATTCTTCCGGAAGATGACATTCTCTTTAATTTTACGTTTATAACACTCAAAAAGGAATTTCAGATGTCAGGGGATCATTGTAGTGATTTTTACCTCTATAAATGCGAACATCTTTTGTATGACAGTGGAGCTGATGACAGTAGCTACCATGATAACTTCAGTTTCTTGTCGTTGTGAGCTCCTTACTTTCGATTACCATTTAAGGCCAACGAGTTCATTATTTGCAACAGAATAGAACGGGACAGTTCTGGTTAGTGTAGAAAATGCATTCCTCAATTGACTTTTACTATCTCCACATGAAGGTTTTATATCAGTTTCCCTTACCTGAGGTTTGCAAAATCTTTCACTTGAGATGTATCAATTGGAGCCAAAATCACCTTGAATGTTTTTTTCTTTAACAAAAAAAAACCTCAAACGAGGATAAGTGAAGATACCATTTCGGCACGTTAAGACTTCCCATTGATTTTTGCCATGATAACAACTGTTGTTGCAAAGCAAATCAAATTAGCAAGTAGCCCTCCAATATAACCTAGTTACCTAGGAGTCAAGGTATACAATTCCTAACTCACGAATATGGCTTTCCTAACTCACGAGACTGTTGTGGGATTGGCCTAACTCGACATAACTACCTGAAGGATTCTCAAAATCAAATCAACAATCCAAAGAAAATGGAAAAGGCGACAGCAATGACTGAAATCGTTCAATCAAAATAGAGTTGTCCTTTCAAGCCTGTGACATAGCTCAAAACATATGCGCAACTGACGGGTGATAATTGCGACAAGAATGGCCAAAAACACAAGTTATGCAGAAAGATGATTAACACGACTGGAAGAAGTGCAATTGATGCCATCAAGAGCATAATCTCTGGGAATACAGCAGCCAAGGTCTTTCTCACCGTGGGACAGCAAAATCTAAGGCAAGTGCAAGAAAGATGAAAGCATATCAGTGAAGTGATTTTTTGTATAGGGTTTTCAGATAACTGAAAGGTGACTATGACGTTGTGGGGCATGGTAAAGAGAACTGAACAAGTAAATTTCATACAGGGAAACACCAAAAACAAGGGAATTACTATGTAGAGGATCAATTAACTAACTCTCAGCCCTCAACAGCACATTCCACTTGATTCACCTCACTCCCAATTCCTACAGTCCTAACACTAGTAAGCACACTAGTAAGCAGTAATACCACTAGATTGCTACGGTTTCGCTGGAAAGTCCCACAAAAGGAGGTCTACAGATGTGCTCATTTAGCACCAAACATAGAAGGACAAAGTGTGGCCTCCAATCTGAGTCCTTGAAATGATAAACAGAAGGACAAGAGCAAGATTACTTGGGTAACAGTGATGTTATTGGAGAACTGGAATACATTAGAAGGTAAAAGTCAATTGAGAAAACATTATGCTTATTCATTGTTGCCAATAGGTTACGTTTATGTCAGTGCCACTAGGTACTTGTTTTCCAAATTACCTTTTAAGACTAGTAAACAACGGTCTTACACTATCTTATAAGTTAGACATCACTATCAAGTTAATAATGATTCTCGAAACAAAACAGCACATAAAAGAACTTTCTTACAATCCGTTCAGTTCTGTGTTTAAATCGACTACAGTTTCCTAAAATTGAGGTCTGAAGGAAAGTTACCTCCACACTTAGCAGAGTTAGCACAATACAATGCAGAAAATAAACTCAGCTTATCTGATCTCCTTTATTCGTTCAAATAAATGGAGAACAAAAAAAAAAACTCAAACACTTATACAAATAAGATTCAGGATACAATATTAATAGGAGACAGTTGATTACAAACTCCATTACAGTCCAACTTCAAGTATCAGAGATAGAAAGTAATATCTTCTTCCACTAGTCAAAATAAGAACAGAATCACTGGGTACAGTCAAGACGAGATCATTTGGATAAACAAAAAGGGAAAAACGCTGCTTGCAATAAACAGTCAACACTGAGAATTAGATATGAAATTTCAATCTTGAAGAGGTACATTAACTTTAAAAGAGAAACCAAATCATATTAATTGTTCCTTGAATCCAGCCAAACCTTGTCACAATGGGGTTGCAAGCCCTATACAACCAAATAAAATGACTAAGGATCAGAACTGCGGCCAATTCTAGTCACATGGAACCATATCTCAATCAACCACGAAAAAAGAGCTAAAATTTAAACAAATTTGAAAAATCGACATTTCAGAATCAAACAGGAGGGAATGTATGAATTATGATCATTACAAAGAAAAGCTCACGAAATGGATAAGCGACCTTGAGAAAGCCAACTCCAGCAGGTGGAGTCAACGGCTATACTTGACCGGAGCCGAGCAGAAGCTATGGCGCTATGAAGAGGTAACAATGTCTCAACGCTACCCATTACTGCAACAACCCTGTCAAAAAAAGTACTCCAAATCTTATAAAAGAAACACAAAGTTAGATAACAAAATCATTCTTGAAGTGAATAGAAAAGAAATGAACCTTGAAGCAGAGCGGGCAATGGGTCTGGTGGAAGAAGCGAAAGGAGAAGCTGGGATTGGTTTCGAAGATAGGATTCTGGCTAACGATCTACCGCTGCCGATTACCGCCGTTGCTGTTCTGCACGCCAACGCCATCGTGTAAAATCGCCTTCAACGGAGAAGAAATTCAAGGGTTTTCCAAAAGGGTTTTACAGAGTACTTACCTATTTTGCTATTACCAAATAGTAGTTCCAAAAACACTTAAAACGACATCGTCACTTGATTTTAGTAGTAGTATTATTTTTGGGAGTTCCAAGGCGGCCCAAACTCGGATGAGTCCATCTTCCATGAAATCTGTTTCCCGCCATCTTGTCTCCCAATTCCATTCCTCATCTTCTTCAGGCACAACAACATTAACCAAGAAATCATGCATCGATCTCCTGAAATCATGCAAATCGATGAATCAACTGAAACAAATCCAAGCCCAGGTTTTCTTATTAGGCCATCACCGAAGCTTGGACGTTCTCCACAAGCTCATGGCCTTCACCGCCGACCCTTCTTTGGGGAACTTAGACTACGCTCAGAGAGTCTTTGAACACATTGAATACCCATCTCTGTTCGTTTATAACGTGATGATCAAAGCTTATACGAGAATTGGTCAGTTCAGAAAAGCCCTGTTCTTGTTTGATGAGTTGCGAGGACGTGGTATATGGCCTGATAATTATACTTACCCCTTCGTGTTTAAGTCTATTGGGCAGCTGAAAATGGGACGGGAAGGTGAAAAGATTCACGGTTATGTGTTGAAAAATGGAAATGCATTTGACAGCTATGTGTGTAACTCAATCATGGATTTGTACGGAGCCATTGGTTATGTGGATGGTTTGAACAAGGTGTTTGAAGAAATGCCTCAAAGAGATTTGGTTTCGTGGAATGTCTTAATCGCCGGGTACGTTAGGTGTGGCAGATTTAAGGACGCTATTGGAGTCTACAAGACGATGAGGCAACAAAGAATTGTAATGCCTGATGAAGCTACTGTTGTAAGTACTTTATCTGCTTGTATTGCTCTGAAAAATTTGGAACTCGGGAAGGAAATTCATGATTATGTGAATAATGAGCTTGATTTGACTGTTATAATTGGAAATGCTTTGCTGGATATGTATTCCAAATGCGGATGTTTATCTTTAGCTAGGCAAATTTTTGATAGCATGCCAGAAAGGAATGTTATGTGTTGGACAAGCATGGTATCTGCTTATTTGAGTGTTGGTCAGCTGGATGAAGCTAGAGAATTGTTTCAGAGAAGTCCAGCTCGTGATCTTGTTCTTTGGACAGCTATGATCAATGGGTACGTACAGTTCAAACGTGTTGATGATGCATTAGCCTTGTTTGAGGAGATGCAAATGGCAAATATAAAGCCAGACAAGTACACATTGGTTACTTTACTTACAGGATGTGCTCAGCTGGGTGCCTTGGAAAAGGGTGAATGGCTTCATGCTTGTATCTTGGAAAACATGATACCAGTAGATGCTGTTGTTGGTACTGCGCTGATCGAGATGTATTCAAAGTGTGGGTTAGTTGAAAAATCTTCAGAAATTTTTCAGGGGTTGGAGCATAAAGACGCTGCATCCTGGACGGCCATTATTTGTGGTCTTGCAATGAATGGTAAGTCAAGCAAAGCATTGGAGATGTTCTCAGAAATGAAAAATGCTGGAATTAAACCTGATGATATTACCTTCATTGGTGTTTTAAGTGCCTGCAGCCATGGTGGACTTGTAGAGGAAGGCCGTCAACACTTTGATTCGATGGGGAAAGTTTTTCAACTTGAACCTAAGTTGGAGCACTATAGTTGTCTAATTGATTTACTTGGTCGTGCTGGACAGCTAAGAGAAGCTCGTGACATAATCGAACTTATACCAAGCAAAGACAACAAAATTGTAATTCCACTTTATGGCGCTTTACTGAGCGCTTGCAGGATCCATGGGGATGTTGATTTGGGAGAGTGCATAGCTAACACTTTAATGCGAATTGCGCACAATGATTCCAGTACTCATGCTCTCTTGGCCAATATATATGCATCTGTTGACAGGTGGGAAGATGCCAAAAAGGTCAGAATTAAAATGAGATCAGATGGAGTTGAAAAGTCCCCTGGATGTAGTTCAATCGAGATTGACTGAGATGTATGAGATCTGTTTTTGGTAAGCATGTGGGTTCTGATGTGAGACAAGTTAACTTCAGTTTTCCAGTAGGCTAACCCCCTTGTACGTTGAGAGGACAAAAAAATTTGTAGTAGTCTCGTAGATTGCTGATTTGAAGAGCTTGGCTTTGACAAACAGAATATTTCCTTTTGGAATGCCTATTAATCTTAATCAGTTAGGAACACACTCAATAAAGCTGCAGCAACCTGAGGCAGGGACCAAGGAAAAAAGCACATTGACAAGCGCAGAGGTAGTAGCTTGAATGTAGTCCGTTTTACTTGTCGAGTAAATAATGAATTACTGCAGATTTACAATTGCCTGTTGATGAACCGGAATCTTGCTGCGATGTTCAAAAGAGTGATAAACAAATGCTGTAGTGAAAGAGGCATCTGAGGATGCTCCAGTTTCCTACTGTACTATGTTCGTTCTTCCTTTAACATAGTTATACTAACATAGTAACATTGCATCATCTTGACAAAGCGGTTCTTGTGTGTTACTTTAAAAGCTGCAGCTATATTTTTACAATACAGAACATGAACTTTCAAACCGGTTGGCTGTAAGTTCCAAAATGTTAAAACAAAGTATCTAGCCATTTCAAATCATCTGTTATGTAACTGACTATACGGAAATACTATTGATACCATCACTATCAAGAAGGTGGCGTTTCTCTCAAAGTGTCTGTGTGTGTATGTATGTGTGTGTTGTTTTTCTGCTTTCCTTCTAGTTTGAAGATTCTTAGCACTGAAAGCTTTCGTATTGATGCATGAGAGTTATATTCCATTCTTAGCACTGAGACTTCTGCTTGTCCAAGGCTCTGAAGCCTTGAGTCAGGAAGCATGGTTTCTGTTCTAGGCAAATTTTACTGCATGAATTACCCTTTTTTTAGTATCTTGTCCTATAATTTTGGTCCAAATGACTGGAGCAAAAGTCTAACTCCAAAACAGAGGTTTCTGAGGTCACAGCAACATTGCAATGCTGATGGATATTGTTTTAACTCCAAGCTGAAAGGTCTCGTACCTTTTTTTTTGATACGATTGCTGTGGCATTCTCTCTATCTCTACCTAGCTATTCCCACAATCTTGTAATGCACAAAGTCTCAAACTTTTAGATGCATTCAGCTTGCTTTTTTACAACAGCTGCAACTAAAATAGACTCCATTTGCATTGGAAGTAAATTTGATGTGCAACTTGCTTTTAAATCATATTGTAAATCTGTTAGTCTCCTTGTTTACCATACTTCCGTTTATTTACTCCTCCTAATAGGAACATAGGCAGATAAAAAACCAACCGGAGCAAATCGAATGTATCAGTTACAATTCTTCGGAGCAATAGCAAATAGGAGAAGCCTCAATATCACGCAAGAGAAAATATAGCTGTTTAGGAGAGCATCAGGTATTAAAAGATGGACAATTGAAACAACAGTTAAAACTGGTCTCTGCTAGTATAATTCAGAGTGTTAGTGTTGATCCATTAATTTGCATAGCCAGTAGTCCTGACTTATTTTTGCTCTGCACATCCAACTTTAAATTTTGTAATGCGGAGTGTATCCACTCAGAACCTCCAGGTTTTTGTTGTTAATCAGGAGACACAAAAATGTTACAGAATAGATTTGTGCCTTGTTAAGTCTGCAAATGCCAAGGACTTGGGTTACATTCCAATAAATCTTTGGCAACAAGAATTCAGGTGCATATACATTTCTGAGTGCAAGGTCACTTGATGTTTGAGTTGATTTTCCTACAGACGAGTGAAGATCATAAACAAGACCATAGACTATAAATAACGTTCTCTATACTAAACAGCAGTTACTGCACTACCCAAGATGCATTTAGCCATTTACCATGGAATTGATTTACATATCTACAAGAACATGGCCGTATAGTTTACATGTTTATACCTACCTTTCCTACAGGGCAAATCTTGATGTTAAACTAGCATATTGGTCATGGAGCCAACATCACCTTGAGAAGCCAATGGTGGCTCATCTTCGACATTTGTCATCCCAGATTCAAATCTTTGACGCCTAAGCACAGCAGCCTTGACCCTTTCTTCGAATTCTTCATCCGAGTCAGACAACATGTATCGCAACTTAAAGTTTATCCGGTTTTCCACCATTATCCTATGCCTGGGAACTATTCGATCCTCAAGAGAATAACTGAAAAACCTACAAATCATCACAAATATTAGATTAGTGTAAAAAATTAACCACTGGTTAACTATGAGCTTCACCAGGATAATGCGTATGTGAGCAACATACCTTGGAAATTCGATGAGATCACGCAATGGTCTAACCATTGTTCTGCGGAGATAACGGTACTTGGGACGGAGGATGTCTATATTGTACCGAAGTAACATCGGAAAATCAGATATCATCTGGCCTAATTGTCTGAGAGAAATGCCAAGAGACAGAAAGTATTTGACATTGTGTTCCAGTTTATTGGCAACGCTGCATCCCAATAGCTCTGGCCCCAAGGCTATAACCTTGCCAATGTCCTTCTGGGTCACGCCAGCTTTGGTTAACAAAAATATGACCTACAAGGATGTCAATGTTCAAACTTCTGCTTCAACAATTCCACCACAGATATGGAGGGTGTCTAACAGATTCCTATACACAACAGCTGGGTGTTTCTAGCATTGTTTCACTAGCAACCATAATCCTATAACATTTTCGGATGATGAAGGGTAGTGCTTTGGACCGGTGCGAGTAAATAAGCAAATTCAGAAGTACAGAAGTGAATGGTAGAAGAGGATAAGGCATACCACAGGGCGTATCTTCTTTTGAAGGCTATATGTGAGCAAAGGAGGAAACTTAGCAATCATATTGCCAATGGCATCATCCTGAACCCCAATGTCCTGAAAAAATTGAACCTTCCCCAAGGACAGCGAAAACAAAAAAATTAAAAGCTATAGCAAACTGTTGAACAACTTTATTCCATCTCAAGCTGACTATAAGAAAATTTTCCAACTTAGGTTGTAGAAGCCTGACTAGTTCAATTGCATAGAAAGTAAGATCTGTTTGGCCAGAGCATACCTTTGGTACTATAATACTTTCCAAGTCAACACAGAAAATCATTGCCTTTTTAATAAGTATCCTTTTCATGTTCTCCTTCGAAATACCAAGGTAGTAGAAATATTTGACAAGAGGTTTCCATCTCTCTTCTATACTGCAGGCCATTAATTGTGGTTTGAATGCTATTAATCTCCCTACTTCTTCATCATTCAGACCGAACTCTTTTAAGTAAGCTACCTGTATGAAAAAAAGAAACATTGCACTTTAGTCACTCAAATATCCCACTCTCTATAACAAAGATAAATTTCTATAACTGTACTGCAAAAGTTACACAAAAAAAAAAAAAAAGAAAAAGGAAAGGAATTTCATGCTCCAACTAACAAATTAGCCAAGCATGGAAGGGTACTATTCATTTGCTTCAGTTGAAACACCTTCAGACCAAGACCCAACAATAAAGAGCACTGAGGAAGTGTTAAGAATGCACCTTTTGGTTCATCTCTTCCATTGAAAAAAATCCAAGCACTTTGGGAAAGTCAAACACCATTGTTCCGAAATCCTCCTCATTCATTCCCATGTTTAAGTAAAATTCTACACGAGATCTGAGCTCCTCCATGCTAAATGATAGGACTTCAGGGCAACGACTCAATACATAACCCATCCAATCTCTCCTAACTCCATTTCTCTCCAAGTAGATAACGATCTCATCTAATTGCTCTATACTGTTCTCCAGTATTTTATCTCCAGCTCGCATCATTGCAATCCCAATAAATCTGCCTTTTACATAATTTGACTTCAACCACTCAGCCAACTGTCTTATGGCATAAAGATTTCCTTTCGACATGCAAATGAGCTTCCCAATTTGGGGATAAGATAATGAATTATGCTTCAACCACCTACAAGAAGTCAGCTGATCATGATAACACAGCACTTTTTCTTGGCGCAGATGTTCTATTTTACTATCAAAGACAGTTGGAAACTTAACAGACTACATTCAACATCATCCTTTTACTTCATCTTTTATTACTATGTTAACAAAATCAATACCAGCAGGAATATCAAAATCAAAACACGAACACAAAGTCCTCGAAGCTGTAAGAAATCAAATTTTCATACAGTAAAAGAATACTACCTTATAAGAGCAACAACGCCAGAGTCATTAATGAAGGTCCTGGCACGAACATTGAAGGATGCTGAAGAAAACTGGCCCCACTGCTTCATGGAAGCAGCTTGAATCATCACAAAATCGATATAATCAGACATATAGGGAAGTAAATTGCTGGTGTAAGTGATGCCAAACTTGCCCTTTTTCATTGCCTCTTTGAATATCTCCACGGTAACTTTCCTGCGTATCTCGAGGGCCTTCATTAGCATTTCGTAATCATCTGTATCAGCAACGAAGTCATTTCGTCCTACGCCTTCAAAAAGGGTCTGAATTGGTGGTAAAGAAGCATTAACTTGCGGGTCGCTCGGAGATTGGACGTATATAGACCCGGGAAATTGTGGAGTCCTTTTCCTTATCAACGACATTTCGAGAATCTTCACTTTCTCTTCAAGGGGCATAATTTTATCTTCCTTTTCCAGGAATTCTGAGCCTGTCTCTTGATTGTCCGACAGGTATCGAAGGATGAGGGAAGAGGATTTAGCATTGTGAGCTCGCAGAAATTTGTCATCACTAGAGGAAGCGGTTTGTGGGTTTTGGCGATGGTGGGTGGAGGAGCAGGGTGGAAGAATATGGCGGGTAGGTTTACCGGTGATCGGGGGTAAGCGGAGGATGTTGATTAAGTACAGCTGATTGTGTTGGTATTGGCTGAACAACATTTTCATGGCCAAAGCAATGGGAAGAAGGGATAGAATTGTGGGATTTTGGGAGACGGAGGCAAGTCAAAAGTCAAAACCTCAGTTTTTTTATTTTGAAAACCCGCACCTCCTGACGATTTTCACACAACTGCCCTTTTCTTTGGTAATCTAACATTTCCACACCCTTGGTTTTTCTTTGGTAATATTGCAAAGTCTAGTTCGTTTTTTTTAAAAAAAATTTATTTATTCAGTTTTTTTTAAAGCATTTGTGATATATTCATTATATAATCATCTTATTATATGTAATAGTGCAAGTGAATAAAGGGAGGAAAAAGTAACTATTTCAAATATTATTGATAGAGATGCATTTAAATTTGAATAATTTATTGAGATAAGTCTTTTCACATAAACTATATAGCCTAACTTTGATTATCATTGAATATTGCTTAGAGATTAAATTTTGAAATTGTTTGGACATTAATTTTGTTTACATTTTCACTCAGTTTACCTCTTAAACACAAAACCCAATGGAAAAGAAAATATCATCAAAACAACTTTCTGATTTACATTTTAAATTCCAACTTGAAACACTTTTTGTTAGTGTAATGACCATTTAGAACTACAAATAGTTCAGTGATAAATTTGGCAGGATTCCGTTGTTGAGTGATTATTTTTTGAAATTTTTTTTTTTTGCAGTGACTATAATTTGACAGTATTTAATTGTTTAGTAATGACTTGTACTTGATATTTCAAAATGTAGTTCAAAATTTTTTTTTTCAAAACCAACGTCCAAACAACATTTTTATTTCTCATTTAGTTTTTAATTTGAAACACTTTTCATTTTCACTTATATTGCAACTTCCAGTTCACAAAAACATAAATTTGTGACAAGTTAATTATCGGAGCCCACAACGAGTTGTTTCTTCCCTAAGTGTCATGTACTTTTAGTAGTTTTTAGAATGTGCAGAGTCATTATGTACATGTTGAGTGTTGGCTAAGGTGTTTCTTTATGGATAACCATAGTATACTTAGGTATACCATTTTGGCGTGGGGTTGGGGCCTGGCCAGTGCTTATCTTAGCCGGTAAGACTGTGCAAACAGACTAGCAAGGAAACCAGCCGAATCCAAACCACCACCTGGCCGATACCATTCATCCGGAGCTATGCCTTGTCACCAGCTACAGGATCAAAATCTCTATCCATCCTTAATTAAAATATCAATAATCGAGATGCATGGAAAAGTTTCACCCAACTCTCAAGCCTGTCTCTGAATTCACAACTTATTGTGCATCATGTGGCCTCTTTTCCCTAAAACAATTCATCATAGCGGTACTTTTCCAGCCCAATGCACTTATTGTTGAGTTTTCCGACTGAACTCGGGATTGGAACCAATCTCAAATCATCGTATTTTAATTAAAAGAGAAGAAGGAGATAGAGCTTCCATGTATAATTTATGTAAACAAAAGCCAAATGTTTGATTCAGACAAAGGATTTACTCAGACATTGTCTGAGTACTTCAAACTATAAATTAAAACAAACTTAAAGGAAAATATTACCTTTAAAGGCTTCTTCTATGCTTCAAACTTGTAAGATATATTTATTGAATGATGTTTTTACAAGGGAGAGAGAGAATTTCGGGATAAAGGGAGAAGAAATGAGAGAATACTTGGAGAGAATGCTACTCCCCACAAGAATTTCTACATTCTATTTATAGACAAAGCGCCTAACTACTATTCTACAAAAGTTAAAACTACTATTGTACAAAAATTATTAACTTTTGTCATTATTTGACATGGTTTTCTTCAGATTTGACTGAAGGTGGTGGTCTATTTGTACAAAAATTTCAAAAGTAGATTCCTACTTTTGTCAAAATTTCAAAAGTAGATTCCTACTTTTGTCACTTCATTCTTTTTCTTTTCCTTTTTTTGATTGAGTGATTCTTGGATCTGTTGTAATGAGCTTTGTGATGAATTCATCGTGATCGTCATCTTTTTCGGTGACCGAGATTCTCCGGCCAATATTGCAAACGAATTTTCTTCATTTGAAGTTATGCTCTTCATCGAAACATCGATTTTTCGAAATATTATCATTGTCGAGATTCTTTAAATTTCTCATGAGATCTGCTTTAACTTCTTTCATATAGGCAGATATTATTTCTTCCTTATTAATTGCTCCTTCTTGAAGTGAATCCGCTTTGTTATGTGTTTAAACGGACTTTCTTCATCTGGGTTTGCTTTAAGTGTTCCTTTTCTTGAGTATATTCCTTGATTTTCGGGCAATTTCGTCCAAGCAAATCTTGTCCTTCTATTCTTTTGGTATTGTGATTCACCTTTGTTAATTTGTCCCAAAATTTGGTGTAATATGTCTTATAAAGACACGGAATTTGAAATTCATTGAATCCCACCTCGGGGACCCATTTATAAATCCAAGGAATTGAGAATTCAATAAAGAAATATAACGAGTGATTTTCCTGGAGCACGAGATATGATTGTGTTGAAGTTTATCAATGATAGGAGAGGATTTTAACCATTGATAATATAATTTGAAAAATTATCGGCAAAATTTTCTTTGTTGGGCCATATAATGCCCACCATTGAATAAACCAGTTGGGTATGGGAGAAGAATACACATGGGAGCATATTTTGATGAACCAAGTATGCTTTTTCCTGGGTTTTCATAATAAAAGTTTTGTAAAAACTTTGGATATAATCCCGATAAGTAAATTTCAAAGGAGGAGAAGTAGGAGTATTACGTACTTCTCTTTCGAAAGGGTTGAAATTCCCATTCTTCGAAGATAAAATCTTTTTAATAATAATTTTGAGAAGTTATAAACTTGATTGTAGTCTGATTAGACTGAAATGTGTTATTTCACATGTTTGTTTGAGAATATTCTCATAATAATTTCGGGTTTGTATGACTCACCCGTATCGTTACCCTTTCGCTAGATATCTCCGGAATATTACCCATGGATCTTCTTTCCACCGAATATCAGCGTTTTCAAGAAGGAATATTACCTCCTTTGTGGATCCTTTTTCATATGACCGGATATCATCCTGGTCAGTATCACTTACTTTGGCAGCAAAGGTATCACTTTGTTGCTCTTGGATTTGGTCCATAATCTGCTTATATAATGCGAATCTTTCGAATAAAATCCATTATTTGGACCAATTTCGCATTTGATGAGGAGGATTCCTCCCGAGATTTTGAAAAATCAGCGGCTATTAGCTTTTATTCCCATGTTGTATTACAGGGTTTATTGTTCTTCCTCCACGACCTCTATAAGGGCCGCGTCCTCGATCTGGTGGATACATAATCCTGAAAATTAGAGAATTATTAATGATAATTTGGCTTTACAATAATTCAACTTTTCTTCACTTTCAGTTAATCTTCCAGTGAAGTCTTCTATCATGTCATAGACAAATTCAAGGTCTTCTGAAACAGATATTATCTGTTGTGGTGAAGTAAATTCATCAGCACAATCAAGAATTGTATTACGAACTCGTAAAAAGTGATTTAGTCTATGCTTCGCAAAAATATATTCCGTTCTACAATGCCTATATTCAGCAACAATCTTATTATAAGCAATATGTATTACGGATAGTGGATTAAGATAATCAATTTGTGGCCACTCCATCCTCGCAAATATTCACGTGATAAGAAATCGTAAGGAATTATCACTACCTTTTTATATAAAATTTCAAAATCAAAAGGGGCTAAATTAGCTCGCCATCGAGCATATATTTGCTTTGAAGAATCATGCTTATAATCTTTATAAATCATGTGTTTAATCGCAAGTGCATCGTGTGAATGACAAACGATCGATTAAATAAATCATCTTGGAATTTTAATACACATTTTACAATAGCAAGAAATTCTTGTGCAACGATTGCATATTTCTTTTGAGGTCTCGTCCATTTACGAATGATATCTAATAAGATATTCATTATTATCATGAGGGTTAATCTGCTTTAAGATTCCACCGAATCCTATGCTACTAGCATCGCTTTCTATTATCTTTTCCAATTTGGATTTGCTAATGTTAAACATGGTAGAGTTTTACCTTTTCTTTTATTTGCTTAACTAATTGAGTATGCTTTTCATGTCAATCAAATTTAATTGATTTTTAAGCAAATCATATAGAATTGCTAAATCTTTCGTAAATTCTTATAGTATGGTGAAATATAATTCAAACTTCCTAGAAATCTCGGAGTTGAATTTTCTCAGTAAAAACATCAGGAAATTTAGAAGAAAATTCAATTGATCGTTGAATAGGGGTTATTTTCCCTTGACTTATTTGATGACCAAGAAATCTTATATTATGTTGAAACAAAAGCATCTTTGGTTTAGATATTACTAATCCATTTCGTAAAATAACATCCTTTAATATATTAAGATGTTTAAAATGTTGTTCAATATTATCAGAGAATACTAGGATATCATCAATGTAAACAATTATAAAATCCATATAATGAATAAATATATCATTCATGATTTTCTGAAATTCAGAAGGAGCATTTTTTAATCCGAATGGCATCACATTCCATTCAAATTGTCCTATAGGCACATTAAAAGCAGTTCTATAAGTATGCTCAGATTTATTTGAATTTGCCAATATCCAGATTTTAAATCGAATTTAGAAAATATGTTGGCATTATATAATTTTGATAATAAATCTTTTTATTAGGTATAGGATATCTTATCCATTTTAAAACTTTATTAAGTGGCTTATAGTTTATTACTAATCTTGGGACGCCACGTTCTTTTCAATTGCATTATTAACATAAAATGCGTACATGACTGAGGAGATTGTGAAGGTTTTATTAAACCCTTTTGAAGCAAAGAATGTAATTCTTCTTACATAAATTCATATAGACAGAATTCATTTGACATGGTCTTGCTTTAGTAGGAATATCCTTTTCATTAAAATTATCTTCATAAGGAGATTAACTAAATGTTTCTTTCTATTCCAAAAGCATTTGGGTGATCAAGACATACCGATTCTTGAAATTGTATTGTAATATGTTTTATTTTTCTTGTAATTTAGTATTACTCAATAATTCGGTATTGATAA